CCTTAGGTATCTGACCGTTTTCATTCATTTTTTTTCATTCCTCCTCGGCGTTGATTGTAATCAGCGTCGAATGTTGTGAACAGGGGAATGATAATTCCAAGAGGAATGAGAAGAATAGTGGTGAAAACGCTGGCAGTGAATCGAAGAGGGTGTTGTTATAATTACAGCTTAAACAAAGGTACCAAGATATTGTGATGAAGTGAAGGTGTTGGTTGGGATGGTAATGGTAGTTACAGCGGCCATGACGTGTCAGTAGTGGAAGTTTGGTGACATCCGGCGATGAGTCAAGCAGCGGAGGGTCGGGTCACCATTCATTACCCGATTACCGAGGGGTGGGACCTCACTTCGTGGTAATGCCTGCGCAAAAGGGACACTCACGCTGGAGCCATGTGGCTGCCCCTGACGACAGTTGGGGCACCCCTTGCACCAGGAATACGCATGTGAGAGGGAGGGAGATATATTTATTCATTCATATATAACTTTACCTTGCGCTGGTTTCGAGGATCAAAGTCCCGGCGGCTCGGTCTCTGTTTCTGTGCATCAAATGACTGATGTGTATTTTATATGAATTGTATTATTTGGAATTTAACTAATTATTTAAATTATTTCTTAAATAAAATTATTCTCTGCTTAAAACTAAAAGTATTAAAACTTATTTTTAATAAAATTATATATTTTACTAACATTTTAAAAATCAGTTTTAATAAAATTTTAAAATTAAATTTTACTAAAATTTTAAAATTAAATTTTACTAAAATTTTAAAATTAAATTTTACTAAAATTTTAAAATTAAATTTTACTCAAATTTTAAAATTAAATTTTACTAAAATTTTAAAATTAAATTTTACTAAAATTTTAAAATTAAATTTTACCAAAATTTTAAAATTAAATTTTACCAAAATTTTAAAATTAAATTTTACCAAAATTTTAAAATTAAATTTTACCAAAATTTTAAAATTAAATTTTACCAAAATTTTAAAATTAAATTTTACCAAAATTTTAAAATTAAATTTTACCAAAATTTTAAAATTAAATTTTACCAAAATTTTAAAATTAAATTTTACCAAAATTTTAAAATTAAATTTTACCAAAATTTTAAAATTAAATTTTACCAAAATTTTAAAATTAAATTTTACTAAAATTTTAAAATTAAATTTTACTAAAATTTTAAAATTACATTTTATTAAACTTGTTCAATTTTACTAAAATTATTCAATTCCAGTGTCTTCAATTTCACTTCCATTTCAATTAAATATTTTATTTGTATTTAATGCAAAGAGTCTCTCATAGTGCATGTTTTCCATGACCATGGGTCCATTTTGAGGAAAGCCTGGTCACTTTTGCTTATATTTAACTTTACCCTGGAGTACTAGGTTACTTAACCTGTGAGTGAGCATACCACTATACATACTGTGACGGTATGTTAACTCTCAAGATGAGTATAGGGTGCACAATAAACTACCACTTACAGGATGAGCATAGGGTGCACAATAAACTAGCCTTATAGGATGGATATGGAGTGAATTAGCGTTTCGGCAAGTTCAAGTACGTTTATTGAGACAATTAAATACATCTCGGAGGGATAGAGTAGCTTAGGCTAATTCTATTTCCCCATTTTGGCAAGAACCATCACAAATGAAATCCCTGGAGACTGATGTTCCGGGGGCGGGGATGTTGGGAGACGACGCTTCCAGGAACAAGGTCAGCTGGGCGGGTTCACAATGTTTGGTGGATAATTTACTCACTGACGAGTGTTCTTTCCCACAGTTTACACACGCACACAGTTTACACACGCAGTTACAGCCCCGCTCCTGTGCCAGGTAACTCTACTACGGGCTCACCGTGCTACTTGGAACTTTTTGTTCCAAGTAGCTAATCTTAAACAACAACAATGTTCTTACCTTCATTCCTTCCCCTCACCTCTTCCCTCCTTCCCACACCTCTCCCCTATTTCTCAGTAACCGATTATGGCCCTCTGGGGCCCACACATCGAAATTACATGCAGACTATATAAATAATTGATGTACTTCAGTTTTTGCCATAACTAGAAGTAGTAACAGATTAGCCAGGATAGCTGGAGGCAGTAGCCGGTGTCTTGCTAGGATAGCTAGAAACAGTAGCAAATGTCTTGCTCTGATAATTAGAAGTAGTAGTAGATGTCTTCCTCTGATAACTAGGAACTTGGAAGGTGCGTAGCAGGAAAGTGAACCTGCTCCCAGGTACAGGGTCGCATTGTTGAGTCACTCACCGCTCAAGCGCTAACTCCCGGTAAAATGATTTAAGCAATACTCACGCGTGCAATTTACTAGATGCTTGCAGAGCGCTGACGAATGCAACATTGTGTCTTTGTATGCTGCCGGGTGTAGCGTTGGGTGTATGGTGCTTGGTGTGTAGTCACTTAGCTGTTCTATGTCTAGTTTGAGTTTTGACCTCTTGGATTCTGTCATATTTACCTTTGATGGTTTAGGAAAGAAAGCCTATAAGGCTTATCGAGGTCCCCCTAGCCAAGAGCATGACTCTCCGCGCGGTCACCCTTCCAGCTACTGGCCAGACCAAACGGCGCTTAACTTGAATCACCAAAATGTGCACATCATCTATTACGCATGCTCTGTACATGCGTACATGCTCTGTAATGGAGTATGTGTACACGAGTTGGATACGTACACGGTGCCAGCAAGTGTAATTGACTAATTGGTGATAGAGATGGATATGGGTGTCGGTATGTAGGAAGTCCGTGATTGGCCTGCCAAGGTCCCCCTTAACCAATGTGGAGGCTGTGTTCACGTGCTGGGAACTCATTCAGTCCCGTGTGTGTGTGTGTGTGTGTGTGTGTGTGTGTGTGTGTGTGTGTGTGTGTGTGTGTACTCACCTATTTGTGCTTGCGGGGGTTGAGCTTTGGCTCTTTGGTTCCGCCTCTCAACTGTCAATCAACTGGTAATTACCTAAGTGTAGTTACAGGATGAGAGCTACGCTCGTGGTGTCCCGTCTACCCAACACTCTTTATCATATAACGCTTTGTGGTGTACAGATTCCTGAGCCTACTGGGGTCTATCATATCTACATTTGAAACTGTGTATGGAGTCAGCCTCCACCACATCACTGCCTAATGCATTCCACCTGTTAACTACTCTGACACTGAAAAAGTTCTTTCTAACGTCCCTCTGGTTCATTTGGATACTCAGTTTCCACCTGTGTCCCCTTGTTCGCGTACTACCCGTGTTAAACAGTTTATCCTTATCAACCCTGTTAATTCTTCTGAGAATTTTGTAGGTGGTGATCATGTCTCCCCTTACTCTTCTGTCTTCCAGTGTCGTGAGGTGCATTTCACGCAGCCTTTCCTCGTAACTCATGCATCTTAGTTCTGGGACTAGCCTAGTGGCATACCTCTGAACTTTTTCCAGCTTCGTCTTGTGCTTGACAAGGTGCGGGCTCCATGCTGGGGCCGCATACTCCCGGATTGGTCTTACATATGCTGTGTATAAGGTTCTGAATGATTCCTTACACAGGTTCCTGAAGGCTGTTCTGATGTTAGCCAGCCAAGCGTATGCCGCAGATGTAATTCTCTTTATGTGGGCTTCAGGAGACAGGTTTAGTGTGATATCAACTCCTAGATCTTTCTCTCTGTCCGTTTCATTAAGTACTTCATCTCCTATTCAGTATCCTGTGTCTGGCCTCCTGTTTTCATCGCCTCGTTTCATTACCTTGCATTTACTCGGGTTAATGTTAATTTGTTGTATCATTCCTTCAGTTTGTTCAAGTCATCTTGTAGTTTCTAGATGTAACCCTTCTCATATTTTGTTGCATCATCAGCAAACATTGAGAGGAACGAGGCTATACCTTCTGGAAGATCATTTACATAGATGAGAAACAGGATGGGCCCAGGTACAGAGCCCTGTGGAGATAGAGAAAATATGAGAGTCAAGGAAGAAGATCCACCGAGGAGAAATTAAAGAAGAGAGTGCAGATAGAAGACAGTAGTGAGAGAAAACAGAGATGGAGAAGAGAAAGGGAAGAAGGTAAAGGAAGGAGAGGAAATGTAGGGTGAGAGGGTGTTAATGTATGATAATGGGCAGGAGAGGATCTTCTTAGAACTTACAACAATCTCGGCATTATTATACTCTAAGAAATCTTGAGTCAGCAGAGATGCCTTATGAGCTTGTTCCTGATTATTATTGCATCTGTTGCTTCGAACATGCATACATTGAATACAAAATAAGAGATACATCCAAGCACATACATGTGCATATACAGAGTTACGCTTACATACACGTGTACACACAAGTCCTTGCCCGAAATACTATGTGTATTGGTGGCTTTAGGTATTATATGTAGCTCTATCTATAAATCCTACATTATGTTTGTAACTAACTCATCATCTATGTATGTACTTTTCCTGAATAAAAAAAAATGGAAAAAGTCCATGGAGGCATCATACACACTCGAATACACGAAGAAGCACCAGAGTGTTAATGATATTAATGACCGAAAATCCATTTGTTTTTTTCGTTCAGACGAGTGCAATTTTGTGTTTTTACTGCTTTGTGTTCCTTATCTAGAGCTCGAGGCCCACCTCTCAGGATTGGTCGTATGAGTAAGTTCATTATCAACCACACACGTTAAGTAGGCTGAGGTTCAAGTTCAAGTAAGTTTACTGAGAAAAGGAAATACCTCTCAAAAGGAAAGCGTAGCTTAGGCTATTTCTACCCTCGAGACTGAGGTTACTTTCCTTATTCGAGAGTCCCGTTAAAGGGTGACCCACATATCTGACCATTATCATCCTACACTCAGTATTGGCCCAGTGACTTTCAGTTTCTTCCTCTCGCTGAACACTGGTCTCAGGTAGGAGCTCCAGCGATATTGCGTCACGGGTTTGCTGTTACCGTGGCCAGTCCTCACTTAGAAAATCTGTGACGTATTCAACAATGTAACCAATCACAGGAGCCGGACGAATGACGTCAGTGTAAATGAAGGGTTATAAATGCCAGAGTCAGCGGAGTCTGACACAGTCGAGAGGATACTGTTGTTTGTGGTAGTGTGTGTGTTTTACATCTTGTTTAGAATACCTTTCAAGTTGAGAAGATCTTATCAGTTTCGACCAGCTATAATATCAGCCGAAAATATCATATAATAATATCTGTATGATATCTATGCAAAATCAAACGCACGCATAATGATGAAGATATTGTAAGTGTTTGAAATTTCGTCTGGCCGCGGAGGAGGGGTGGGAGGGAGGACCACATTTAGTTTTTATATTATTGTGTCCTTTTTGGGCTACCTGCGCTGTGTATGTGTACTCACCTAGTTGTGCTTGTGGGGGAGGGGGGTTGAGCTCTGGCTCTTTGGTCCCACCTCTCAACTGTCAATCCACTGTGTGTATGTGTGTGCGCGCGCGCTTACCTGTCAGCAGGTTACCTGTACCTGCTTGATGTGTTGTGTTATATCTATTGTGGGTTCAAATTCCTTGTAGAATCTGGCCTTAAAGGTGTAGATTGAGGTGGCTTCCATTTGTTGGCCACCTGTATTCGGTTCCAGAATTTCCTTTTTATTTCTTTTAACTCATTTGCGTTTGCAGCTTCCATTTATATCCTCTTGCCCTGTGTGTGTGTGTGTGTGTGTGTGCATATATATACACACAACCAAATGTACCTTCTTGTATATCAATACATAAAGTGTGGTGGTGTGTTACAGGTTGGTGGGGGCAGCTGTGGTGGTGGCCACCCTGGGCCATACGGTCCACCTCGGCCGCACCTGTCCGTCCGTCTTCCCCTTCCCCAACCTCTCCGTTGACAAGGCAAGTACTCCATCAACATGTTTATTGCTGCTCAATATACCTCTATACGCCATACATGATTCATATACACTGTCAAATATTTTATTGGTAGGGAAGGGAACTATCAGGGAAAGCGCCAAGCCAATACTACTATATAACACTTGGAAGGGGTCAGGATAAGGATTTGGGAGAATGGTATTTTATGGCAAGAAATTATAGTGGTTATATGCATGTGTGTCTGTATGTATACTTATGTATATGTGCCTGTAAGGCGAGCTTCAGTTCATGGGGCCCCTGCCTTTTAATCTACGGTTGTTTATTGCAATTTCGACCCACATTTTATCGTATCTGCTCTTGAAACTATGCATGGAATGAATCTGAACTACTCTTGCAACCTGTCCTCTCACTTAATGTATCACTATTTTCACACTACCGACTGCAGTATAAAAATTACCGTGGTTTGGTAACATAAAATACTGCAAAAGTCACGCTTCCTTGATGACTTGGGTGTCTTTCCTGGGTTCTTACGCTTGTGGATAAGCACAACCACTAAACACTACGGTTGACACACCGTGAGAACGGGCTGAAGGAATTGCTTTGTTACATCCCTACGGGAAAAGGAAATACCTCTCAAAAGGAAAGCGTAGCTTAGGCTATTTCTACCCTCGAGACTGAGGTTACTTTCCTTATTCGAGAGTCCCGTTAAAGGGTGACCCACATATCTGACCATTATCATCCTACACTCAGTATTGGCCCAGTGACTTTCAGTTTCTTCCTCTCGCTGAACACTGGTCTCAGGTAGGAGCTCCAGTGATATTGCGTCACGGGTTTGCTGTTACCGTGGCCAGTCCTCACTTAGAAAATCCGTGACGTATTCAACAATGTAACCAATCACAGGAGCCGGACGAATGACGTCAGTGTAAATGAAGGGTTATAAATGCCAGAGTCAGCGGAGTCTGACACAGTCGAGAGGATACTGTTGTTTGTGGTAGTGTGTGTGTTTTACATCTTGTTTAGAATACCTTTCAAGTTGAGAAGATCTTATCAGTTTCGACCAGCTATAATATCAGCCGAAAATATATAATAATATCTGTATGATATCTATACAAAATCAAACGCACGCATAATGATGAAGATATTGTAAGTGTTTGAAATTTCGTCTGGCCGCGGAGGGGGGGTGGGAGGGAGGACCACATTTAGTTTTTATATTATTGTGTCCTTTTTGGGCTACCTGTGTTGTGTATGTGTACTTGCCTAGTAGTGCTTGTGGGGGTTGAGCTCTGGCTCTTTGGTCCCACCTCTCAACTGTCAATCCACTGTGTGTATGTGTGCGCGCGCGCTTACCTGTCAGCAGGTTACCTGTACCTGCTTGATGTGTTGTGTTATAACTATTGTGGGTTCAAATTCCTTGTAGAATCTGGCGTTAAAGGTGTAGATTGAGGTGGCTTCCATTTGTTGGCCACCTGTATTCGGTTCCAGAATTTCCTTTTTATTTCTTTTAACTCATTTGCGTTTGCAGCTTCCATTTATATCCTCTTGCCCTGTGTGTGTGTGTGTGTGCATATATATATACACAACCAAATGTACCTTCTTGTATATCAATACATAAAGTGTGGTGGTGTGTTACAGGTTGGTGGGGGCAGCTGTGGTGGTGGCCACCCTGGGCCATACGGTCCACCTGGGCCGCACCTGTCCGTCCGTCTTCCCCTTCCCCAACCTCTCCATTGACAAGGCAAGTACTCCATCAACATGTTTATTGCTGCTCAATATACTTCTATACGCCATACATGATTCATATACACTGTCAAATATTTTTATTGGTAGGGAAGGGAACTATCAGGGGAAAGCGCCAAGCCAATACTACTATATAACACTTGGAAGGGGTCAGGATAAGGATTTGGGAGAATGGTATTTTATGGCAAGAAATTATAGTGGTTATATGCATGTGTGTCTGTATGTATACTTATGTATATATGCCTGTAAGGCGAGCTTCAGTTCATGGGGCCCCTGCCTTTTAATCTACGGTTGTTTATTGCAATTTCGACCCACATTTTATCGTATCTGCTCTTGAAACTATGCATGGAATGAATCTGAACTACTCTTGCAACCTGTCCTCTCACTTAATGTATCACTATTTTCACACTACCGACTGCAGTATAAAAATTACCGTGGTTTGGTAACATAAAATACTGCAAAAGTCACGCTTCCTTGATGACTTGGGTGGCTTTCCTGGGTTCTTACGCCTGTGGATAAGCACAACCACTAAACACTCTACGGATGACACATCGTGAGAACGGGCTGCAGGAATTGCTTTGTTACATCCCTACGGCTCGTCTGAGTGTCTAGTTTCTTCCCTCGTCTTGTCTGTGATCATGGTGGCTGCTTGATCATACCATCTCTTGCCCGTCTTTGCTCGAGCATTATGAGGGCTAGTACTACTAGTCCCCAGACTTTGTACTGCACCTCGCTAAGTTCACGAGGCTTTCTACTTTGTTTTGTACTTTGTCTAGTTATGCTTTTTGCTTTTTTTAAGATTAGGATGACACACGCACGTGTTACACATCCTAGTACTGGTTTAATATAGATAGTATGCACTGATATGCATAAGAAATAACATGGGGTCCTAGTGGTGTTCCCTGTGGCACCCTGCTTGTTTCTTCCATATGTTCGGATTTCTTCACTATCATTACTACTGTCTTATGGGAAGGGGTTGGATATGGACTACTACTATCACTTATTGAGTGTTGAACTCTTGCACAGTTCAACACTTCCAGTTAATACATCTTGCTTCTCAAGTTTGTGAAGTATTTTCCTGTATATGTTAGCGCATATATAATATATATATATATATATATATATATATATATATATATATATATATATATTAAAAGAGATGGTAATTTCGGAGTATTTAAATACAACAAAGATCACCACCTCCCAAGAGCACTAGAGCAAGTGAGGGGTCATTTAGACATTAATTTCATCAAGTCCCTGTTAATATGGGAAGACACAGTGTCTATGCTTAAGGCACAACTCTCCTAAACACGAGAGTCAAGTATACAACTTTAGAACACTTTCCCACCAGGAGACTCGAACCCTAGCCAGCACAGAAGCCTTCCAGCAACTGGCATAACAGGTACGCCTTAACCCTCTCCACCACCTGCTCAGACCCTTAAAAGAGATGTCATATATATATATATATATATATATATATATATATATATATATATATATATATATATATATATATATATATATATATATATATATATATATATATATATATATATATATAAAATACAAATTTTCTTGTGGTCATGGAATGTCTTTCACAAATGGCACATGAATCACTTTTGGTAGTGCACATTCCGACTTTTTTTCTAGTGAGAAGTGTGACGAGACATCCAGACTCTCGCAAGTCTCTGGCCAAGTGGGTAATGTCCCTTAACCCTCACATTACTCACCAGGCGGACTAGTTTGTGGATCCACGCCGCTGTTGTGGCTCTTGTCATGCAGCGTCCGCTCATTTAAAGTAATTGAGTGGTCTTAGTAAATTTAAATGAGGAAATGTATATAAATGTTTTAGTAACTTGTAAGTCCCCCACTTTCTCTGATGTTGTATTATTAACCACAATCTATACATCTACACATCTAACTCATTCTTCCCTTTTTATTTTCTGCCTCCAATTCTATGTTTAACTCGTAGTCTTTTTGGGGGTGAATATAAGGTGCCTGACTTCTGTCATGACTAGTTCTCTAATTTTCTTTTCACTTCCTGTATGTATAAAGTTCAAGTACGTTTATTGAGAAAGTAAAATACATCTCAAAGGAACAGAGTAGCTTAGGCTATGTCTAGCCTCCTGCCATGTGTGTATCTCTCCACATTTCTTTTTTAGTTCAATAATTTCACTTATTTGGAATTTCTTCCGTTGGAACAGGTAGGACTTCTACAACATTAAATCTGTTCAAAAATGTCTATCCAACGTATAAAATGTTTACACTTGAGTATCACACACTCAGCGTTACTTGAGTGGCGTATGAGTGTACCTCATTACTCTGCTAACTCCGTTGAGCTTCGTCTTCCGTTGCAATGCTGGGCATGACACGGTTTGGAACTATCAGGGGAAAGCGCCAAGCCAATACTACTATATAACACTTGGAAGGGGTCAGGATAAGGATTTGGGAGAATGGTATTTTATGGCAAGAAATTATAGTGGTTATATGCATGTGTGTCTGTATGTATACTTATGTATATATGCCTGTAAGGCGAGCTTCAGTTCATGGGGCCCCTGCCTTTTAATCTACGGTTGTTTATTGCAATTTCGACCCACATTTTATCGTATCTGCTCTTGAAACTATGCATGGAATGAATCTGAACTACTCTTGCAACCTGTCCTCTCACTTAATGTATCACTATTTTCACACTACCGACTGCAGTATAAAAATTACCGTGGTTTGGTAACATAAAATACTGCAAAAGTCACGCTTCCTTGATGACTTGGGTGTCTTTCCTGGGTTCTTACGCTTGTGGATAAGCACAACCACTAAACACTACGGTTGACACACCGTGAGAACGGGCTGAAGGAATTGCTTTGTTACATCCCTACGGCTCGTCTGAGTGTCTAGCTTCTACCCTCGTCCTGTCTGTGATCATGGTGGCTACTTGATCATACCATCTCTTGCCCGTCTTTGCTCGAGCATTATGATGGCTAGTTTCCTCAGAGTTTGTACTGCAGCTCTCTAAGTTCACAAGGCTTTCTACTTTGTTTTGTACTTTGTCTAGTTATGCTTTTTGCTTTTTTTTAAGATTAGGATGACACACGCACGTGTTACACATCCTAGTACTGGTTTAATATAGATAGTATGCACTGATATGCATAAGAAATAACATGGGGTCCTAGTGGTGTTCCCTGTGGCACCCTGCTTGTTTCTTCCATATGTTCGGATTTCTTCACTATCATTACTACTGTCTTATGGGATGGGGTTGGATATGGACTACTACTATCACTTATTGAGTGTTGAACTCTTGCACAGTTCAACACTCTTCCAGTTAATACATCTTGCTTCTCAAGTTTGTGAAGTATTTTCCTGTATATGTTAGCGCATATATATATATATATATATATATATATATATATATATATATATATATATATATATATGGCACAACTCTCCTAAACACGAGAGTCAAGTATACAACTTTAGAACACTTTCCCACCAGGAGACTCGAACCCTAGCCAGCACAGAAGCCTTCCAGCAACTGGCATAACAGGTACGCCTTAACCCTCTCCACCACCTGCTCAGACCCTTAAAAGAGATGGTAATTTCGGAGTATTTAAATACAACAAAGATCACCACCTCCCAAGAGCACTAGAGCAAGTGAGGGGTCATTTAGACGTTAATTTCATCAAGTCCCTGTTAATATGGGAAGACACAGTGTCTATGCTTAAGGCACAACTCTCCTAAACACGAGAGTCAAGTATACAACTTTAGAACACTTTCCCACCAGGAGACTCGAACCCTAGCCAGCACAGAAGCCTTCCAGCAACTGGCATAACAGGTACGCCTTAACCCTCTCCACCACCTGCTCAGACCCTTAAAAGAGATGGTAATTTCGGAGTATTTAAATACAACAAAGATCACCACCTCCCAAGAGCACTAGAGCAAGTGAGGGGTCATTTAGACATTAATTTCATCAAGTCCCTGTTAATATGGGAAGACACAGTGTCTATGCTTAAGGCACAACTCTCCTAAACACGAGAGTCAAGTATACAACTTTAGAACACTTTCCCACCAGGAGACTCGAACCCTAGCCAGCACAGAAGCCTTCCAGCAACTGGCATAACAGGTACGCCTTAACCCTCTCCACCACCTGCTCAGACCCTTAAAAGAGATGTCATATATATATATATATATATATATATATATATATATATATATATATATATATATATATATATATATATATATATATATATATATATATATATATATATATATATATATATAAATACAAATTTTCTTGTGGTCATGGAATGTCTTTCACAAATGGCACATGAATCACTTTTGGTAGTGCACATTCCGACTTTTTTTCTAGTGAGAAGTGTGACGAGACATCCAGACTCTCGCAAGTCTCTGGCCAAGTGGGTAATGTCCCTTAACCCTCACATTACTCACCAGGCGGACTAGTTTGTGGATCCACGCCGCTGTTGTGGCTCTTGTCATGCAGCGTGCCGCTCATTTAAAGTAATTGAGTGGTCTTAGTAAATTTAAATGAGGAAATGTATATAAATGTTTTAGTAACTTGTAAGTCCTCCACTTTCTCTGATGTTGTATTATTAACCACAATCTGTACATCTACACATCTAACTCATTCTTCCCTTTTTGTTTACTGCCTCCAATTCTATGTTTAACTCGTAGTCTTTTTGGGGGTGAATATAAGGTGCCTGACTTCTGTCATGACTAGTTCTCTAATTTTCTTTTCACTTCCTGTATGTATCAAGTTCAAGTACGTTTACTGAGACGGTAAAATATATCTCAAAGAAACAGAGTAGCTTAGGCTATTTCTAGCCTCCTGCCATGTGTGTATCTCCCCATTTCTTTTTTAGTTCAATAATTTCACTTATTCGGAATTTCTTCCTTTGGAACAGGTAGGACTTCTACAACATTAAATCTGTTCAAAAATGTCTATCCAACGTATAAAATGTTTACACTTGAGTATCACACTCAGCGTTACTTGAGTGGCGTATGAGTGTACCTCATTACTCTGCTAACTCCGTTGAGCTTCGTCTTCCGTTGCAATGCTGGGCATGACACGGTTTCTTAGTTTATATTCAACATTATTACTGTTAACACTCATTGTTATATGTAATCTCATCAGTGTTATTTATGTTATCCACTAGTAAAAATAACTGCACAAGTTTAAGAATTGTTTTATCCATTACAAATTTGCATGTGCAGGTTGGTGCCTCTGTATGACTAAGGTAGCTACATAAATGCCCATGGTAAAAATGGTGTCTGTTACCTTTTTTAGATTAAAATTACAAAATATATACCAGTATATATATATTATAATACCGCAGTTGATTACTACTGTTTTATCACATTCTCTTTACACCCAGTTGTAAGTTTCGTCTGAAACACAAAGCGATAATATTAATGCTCTCTAACCATTCTAAATTTCAAATACATCAATCATGTAACTCGTATTGTATTAGTTATAAATACAAACGTTTATGTTTTAATGTTTAGGTGTTGGGGATGTGGTACGTGGCGTACAAGTTCGACACGGACAACACCTGCTTGGTGTGGAACATCACTCGCGGCCAGCTGCCCGACACCCTGCTGGTGAAGGAGACGAGGCAGCTGCCACTGCTGGACCTGCTTGGCGTAGATCACACCCACGCTATCACCGCCCTGGTTGACATTCCCAACCCGGAGGTCCCGGGCAAGATGCGGATACGCTGGCCCACCTGTGAGTATTGCAGAGATATATTCGAGCAATTATAAGAAAAGCCGCCAAACCGAGAAGACTTTGTACTGAGAATAAGTTAGTGAGAGTGAATGGGCAGCCCGTCCTCCCATTCCTCCCAAATATACCTTCACTCGCTATTAAAGACTGGTGCTTACTTATTTACCACTATTTCAGTAAATTCTTCTTGTTGACAAACTTTTGGTGACCAGCCGTCAAATGCTGGCTAACAGTCTGATCAGGTTAACAGGTAAACAGAAGTGATCAAACATCGAGCATAGTTAACAAAACAAAAGCCATTGTATATTATAATATTACTTCAGAGGTAATTTTTTAACATTGTGCTTAAATTTATATAACAAAATACCTAAGAATCTGTCTGATGATTATAACAGACTGTAATGTGTTATGTAACCAGAATTTGTAATGTGTATTGTGGAAGACCCCCACTTTATGAATTCTGTCCCCAGCAGCACTGACGGGCAAGGCTGACTTCATCGTCTTCGACACCGACTACGAGAGCTACATGGCGGTGTTCGAGTGTGACCGCGCCGGCCTCCTGCACCGCCGGTCAGCCACCATACTCTCCCGCACCCACAACATTGACAATATGTTCGTCAGCAGGGTCAGTGCTCACTCACCTGCTGTACTGTACTCGCCGTCCTTGCTGCACTCCACACTCCCCTGCTTCACTTATCTCTCTGGCTTCACTTAACATTCCAACATCCCTGCTTCACTTCACTCGCCATCCTTGTCTCATTTGCGGACCTTGCTTCACTCGCCATCCTTGTCTCATTTGCGTCCCTTGCTTCACTCGTCATTCTTGCTTCACTTGCCATCCTTGTTTCACTCGCCATAGATGTTAGCTGGCATTAGTCATGCCTCTACTGGACGAGTCGAACACCTATGCAAGGGGATATATACACCGAGAGGTACAATTTGCTTCTTAGCAGTCATACGCTGAGTTTCCTTTAGCGATCCACGGTATTCAGAAATAAAGTATATTTGGTATTCGGTAAGTAAGCTAGTGTTACGGCCTTAATAACCCCATAAAAGTACAATAGGCCTCAATCCCCAACACAAACTATCAAGAGTGTAAAGTTTAGATATACAACAGGGAAGCACATACAAGCACAAGCTTAGAGGCAGACGGGGAAGTATACCTTCTGGGCCAGATGCTCTCTTGAATGACTTCCAGAATCAACTTGGTCAATTTGTAAGGGGTGTGTCATAAAACTGGTCAGAGGAGAAACACGAACACGGGAGACATTTCCCGTCACGCAGGGTGCAGTCGCACCTCCACAGATCTCCAGTATCAGCTATTGATACTGGTAATGGCTCAAAAGGGCCACCACTTACGGGCTATTCATGCCCGTGCCACCTCTTGGGTGGTTTAATCTTCATCAATCAATCAAACACGAAGGCTGGAATCGCAAATTTAATCCTAAGTATAAAATGTTAAATTTACATATATTAGCAATATATGTAAATTTAAAGCAATATATGTAAATTAAAGAGACTGGTGCTTACTTATTTACCACAATTTCAGTAAATTGTTCTTGTTGACAAAATTTACATATATTAGCAATATATGTAAATTTAACTTTAAATTGGTTTACAATTTAGTTTAAAGTTTTAATTGAAGTATGTGTTTGGTAAGACGGTTAATGTGTTTTAGGTGCGACGTCTGCTGGACACGGCTGATGTGCGACACTCTGCTCTCTCTACAATTAACCACGACTCCTGCCGACGCTCTGGGTAAGCTATAATAAACCTATAAGATAGAATAACATAGGTATCATATAGGAACACCTCTGTTCCTCATAGGTGTATCATAGGACACCTCTGTGAGACGGTGTCCAGGGTAAGCTATACGATCTCCTCAAAACTCACTCATACTCCTCGTACTAAATTTAAAACAGCAACATCACATTTCAACACCTTTTTTTGCATCTCGCCCTTAACTATGCAAAGAACCATTTTGTTTATATACAAGGAAATCACAGTAGTGATATATCAAAGAGAAAATCACTAGAGTAGAGCGGGGATTGAACCAGCGCCTATGAGAATGCCAGATGCGTCCTATACCTCTGACCCACATGATATAAAAGCTATTTAACTCTGAAAACTACTGTGTCCTCTAAGGATTGTGTAGGCACCGTACATACTCCAGAGTGGGGTATTCGTAAACACTGTGGTAACAGGTGGTTTGATGGGGGAGGGGGGTGAGGGTATTGTTTCTCATGGTAATGGATTTGCTCTGAAGACGGGCTTTTGTCTTGTCTGTCCAAGGTTGGCGGCCAGATGATTAGGGCTAGCCTCGCCCAACTTCCACACATGAATCAAGTGGGGTAGGAGCCTGTCTAGTCATAGGCCAGTGTGACCATATCAAAGAGAAATGCTTTAGGAAATATTGACATTTATAGATACCCCTCCCTGCCCCCCAATGCGATTTTTATGCAGTCAAGTTTGAAATATTGGTTGTGTTCCCACAGAGTTGGTTTAATGTTTCGTAATTTAAAAAAAAATATGAAAGAAGGGGAAAGACGGGAAGGGGATGGGGTGCAGAGGAGGGGAAATGGGGAGAAGAGGAGGAGAGGGGAGGACAAAAAAATTATCAGTAGCATCCTACTAACTTGGTTATCCCAAAAATTATCAGTAGCATCCCACTAACTTATCCTACCGCAGCTACCTACCCTAAAGGTCCAACCACTTCCCCACGCCACCTTCTGTACTTCTCACATGCTAGAGCCAACAGCAAATATTATATGAGCATGGACACTTACAGCTATTACTCCTCCCAGACAACACAATTGGCACGTGGACGAGGAACTGTTCGGGTTGCTACCGGGAGTGGACGAAGAGGAGGTGCGGCGACGCGTGTCTGCAGGCGTCGTGGACTACGATATCTCGCAGCTGGAGATTGTTGGCGAGGGTGTCGATTCTTTCAGAGGAAGCCTCAAGAAGGCTCAGGACCAGTCGAAGAGTGATCAAACCAAGCCTTCTGTGTGATAAACATAATGTACTTTTCACAGACCTCTAAGCTGGTAAAGCTTGTCTAACACAGATATGTCTTCCAGTGTCAGCAGTCGTTTCATACCCAACCTTACGGCAGTACGTCAGGACGTACTCAGAGGTCACAGGAACGATTTTAGTCAATAATATTATCATGCAGAGTTATCGACACGTCATAGGGATTCTATAGGAATTCACTGCTGCAACTGTGGCAAAAAAAGTAGACCTTCAATCACAAGGTTACTTCAGAAACGAGTAATGTGCCTTATAGTTACACTTTCAACTGAATATATCAAGGCCGGACATACACGCAGTGTCTGGTTACATAGTGCTACTGAGATTATACTTGGCAGCCAAGAGTCATCTTAGGACCAATACGCATGGCTATATTAGAGATATAGGCTGTTATTGTGAGTGTTCTCAAATGTGCGTGCGTACCCTAGTGATAACATGGAGACTGCCGAAAAATATATACTTGATCTTTACTAAACGTTCTTGAGTGTCTGGTGCAAAACCTGGCAGCTGCTGCTGTTTACAAGACCACTATACCTTTAGATGAAATATATAATAGTAAATTTTATCATTTGAAAATTGCAGAAAATGCAACAACTCTCCACGCCATGTAAATAATTTATTTAATTTAATAAGTAATATTTATGCTTAAACTTAGAAACGGGTTTTGGCTTTATTGGAAAATAAATTTATAAATGCATGTTAAAAAGAATCTCAGGTTTTGAATCATAGAATATTAAGCCTATTGGTAACTGGTGAAGGACTGGCAATGATGGTCTTTGAAATGAAGTTCCTCGACCATAGTGGAGTCTGTAAAAGAGATGTTTTAACACTAAACCATCTAAACCAAAGATGTTTTAACACATGATGACAAATGTTCCTGCTGTGTTCACTGACATGCTACAGAGTCGGTAACATGTAGTCTCACATTAAAATCTAAAATATACAATATGTATATATATATATATATATATATATATATATATATATATATATATATATATATATATATATATATATATATATATATATGCTAGTTTTTTGAAGATGCTGGGTTCCAGGCTAATTGGAACAACTAGAGACCTTAGAGCCGCCAGTTTCCTCTTTCAGCGCCTTAGTGTGGCGACCAAGAGAGGAAATGCTCACTGCATCCATGGTTCCTACCCGCCATCTGAGGAGCTGGATGAACTCTACAACTTGTGACAAGTATCCTTGTACCCGACATGTAACCAATCTTGTAACCCTTTTTGTGTAATGAAATTTTAAAACAAAGTGAGATATACATATATATACACACATAAAAAGAATAGGGGTGGTAGGAGAAGAAAATATCAAAATGTTCAGTGAGGATCCACAAGGTCTTCTCTGAGTACTCTTTATTTTCTTCTCCGAGGCTATGGGTCCCTACACTTGCACCAGAGTTGGTACTTCTATATATATATTATACTGTATATTTTGTTTTCTATCCTTTGCAGATATTTTCTTGTGAATATTACATATTTGGTATGTCAGACACGAACATTCTGAACATGTGGAATGTCAGTTACAATCTGAGAGCGTTCTAAGGGAGCTAACTAATTATTAGAGGAATACATTGAGCTTTGTAGTGGTTTGTAAGTTAAACAAATTCCTTAATATTAGTAACTGGGGTTTATATTGAAATTTGCAGTAATTTGGAAGTTAATAATAAGAATAATTAATAATTAACAAAGAATATAAAATTGACGAATGATAGATGCATTAACAATTTTCAGAATTAAAAAGTGACAGACGTATAGTCAATTTTAGATTAACATTAGTGGACATACTCCAGTTAGTGTTGTAGAGTATGACCCAGTTCCTTATCACAGTTTACACCGAATATTTTTAGTGACTGTGTGCAGGTGTTGTTTTGTAACCCGTACAGGATGCTATAGAGCGTCCTGTTGACGCATGGGCTGAACCCTCAAGTGTAAACATTTTGCCCGGGACACCTTCGACTATGACAACAATTGCCTTTAATATTACTCAACAGCGGCATCAGGAATTGTTGGCCAAGCACTTCTGTCCTACCGCGAGAACAGAAGCCGGGACCTCTCGGCTGTAACCCAACTAGAATTATGGTCTCTACAATTTCATCGAATTAACTCCATTTTTATCACAAATGTCTAAGAAATATTTAAGTATTTCATTAAAAATTATGTACTACCAGAAATCTTAGCCCAAGGAAGATAGTGATGTGTTTGTAAACTTTCCACCGCCGCCCCATGAATGGATGTAGGGGTTAGTAAATCAATATTGAGCGTAATTAGTTCATCACAAATGTCAATGACTTTGATTGGAGATAATTGTTGTAGTCCATTATGCTATGAAACTGGTGAACTATACAATAAACTATGTAACTAGCTTATCAAGACTATAATTAACTTACCTGCCCTGAGAGCCACTACCTCTCCAGTGGTATCGACGGGGGATAAGAGGCCGGCGGCTTGTTTACTCCCTCCCCCTCCCCATTGTTCCTGAAGCCGTAAATGTCATTGTCTTGTCAATTACGGCTTCGGCGGGTAGGCGGTTCCATGGGTTTATAACTTTGGGTGAAAAAGCATCTTCTGTTTCGTCTTTAATTACTTTGCAAAAACAACTTTGGGGGTTACAAGACATGTATTGAGGTGCATCATAAATTAATTAAACTAACTGATTTTTGTCCATATAATGTTAATTCATAAAATGTCATCCACACTTCAGTGGAAATATGCTTTCCACTTATATATGGAAACTTTCCTTATTAAGGCTACTTACTCAATAGCTGGGTTGATAGAGCTTCTACCTCACACACGTGGGGTACATGATTCGAGTCTTCTACAGCCCAGGTGAATGGAATGATAATTCACTGTGTCGGGGACAGGCAGGCAGTGTATGTATGTATATATATATATATATATATATATATATATATATATATATATATATATATATATAATGTTGGAGTATTGTAACACCACTATCATGTATATACTAAACTAATAATGTAACTCTACTACGTATCCTGAGTAACACTTCCCATCGGTTGAATTGTTGGTAACACTGTTATTGAACACTGTAATATGAGCTGACATATGATGGTTACACCGGAACCAAAAGGTACACTGCCAACAAGGAAATGCTACACAGGACTAAATAACGCTGCCACCATCTGCCTTCACCATTGAGACTATATCAAGCAACGAGGCAGGAAGCATTGCTCACCATTTGGTCTCCATTTGGTCCGGGAGACATCTCCCGTCACGCAGGGTGCAGTTGCGCCTCCACAGATCTCCAGTATCATCTTTTGATACTGGTAATGGCTCAAAAGGGCCACCACTTACGGGCTATTCATGCCCGTGCCACCTTTTGGGTGGCTTAATCTTCATCAATCGAAGCATTGCTTGACTTGGAGAGTACTTTCTATGACTGTCATTAATTAAGGGACGGTTGTCAGCCACTATATCCAAACGGGTAAGAGGATTCAACAATTGACACAGACGGGAAATTTAACATGAGTTTATTGAGACCAAAATTATGCTAATCACCACTTATAAATCCTACTCTAACACTGGCCAATAGTTAAGAAATTTAGACATGGAACAAAACCTCAGAGATCACACACATTACCTTAAGACCTCTGTCTCCCCATCCGGTGGATTCACTCTGTCACTCCCTCTGTGAGATGGTCTTCACAGACCTCTCTCGACCCCGGTGTCCTGCACTCTGTCCCTAAGTTGATTGATTGATTGATGAAGATTAAGCCACCCAAAAGGTGGCACGGGCATGAATAGCCCGTAAGTGGTGGCCCTTTTAAGCCATTACCAGTATCAAGAGCTGATACTGGAGATCTGTGGAGGTGCGAATGCACCCTGCATGACGGGAGATGTCTCCCTTGTGAATGTGTTAAGATGAAGATGAAGTCACCCAAAAGGTGGCACTGGCATAAATAGCCCGTAAGTGGTGGCCATTTTAAGCCATTACCAGTATCAGGAGCTGATACTGGAGATCTGTGGAGGTGCGAATGCACCCTGCATGATGGGAGATGTCTCCCTTGTGAATGTGTTAAGATGAAGATGAAGTCACCCAAAAGGTGGCACAGGCATGAATAGCTCGTAAGTGGTGGCCCTTTTGAGCCATTACCAGTATCAAGAGCTGATACTGGAGATCTGTGGAGGTGCGACCGCACCCTGCGTGACGGGAGATGTCTCCCGTCTGTGTCCCTAAGTTGATGATTGATGAAGATTAAGCCACCCAAGAGGTGGCACGGGCTTGAATAGCCCGTAAGTGGTGGCCCTTTTGAGCCATTACCAGTATCAAAAGATGATACTGGAGATCTGTGGAGGCGCAACTGCACCCTGCGTGACGGGAGATGTCTCCCGGACCAAATGGTGACCAAATGGTGGGGTCCCTAAGTCTCTACAGGACCAATATATACACACCCCCCAAAAAAAAGGGGGGAAGGGGGAGATTTGCTGTTGCTACCTAGATCGAAAAGAGGTCGGCCACACGTGCACAAACACTCAAGAATTTTCATTAAACTTGTTTGACATTCACCATACACTGTTCAAGAGAGGAATTATTAATTACGTGTGTGATTGACCTTTGACCTTGCTAAAAGGGGGAGATCCATGGATGTTTACACATAAGAATCTGGGGTCTAATTCCATTGCAATGTCTGACAAGAGTATCATGAAATATTACATACTTGAAACTAGCTGACTAAGACTAACCCAGGAATTTTTTAATCAACATACAAGATAATCCGGAGGTCATCTGGGCTGACCTTTTGGAGAAGGCTTCCCTGGGTGTGAACTCTAGGGGGGGGGGTCATGGGTGTTACAGTATATATAATTTCAAAACCCTATTTAGATCGTCCTGAAATGATAAGACTGTTTTTCCCCTGTTTATTTCCCTCCCGATTTTCGTATCATCGGCAAATTTGCAAATATTGCTGTTCAAACCAGAATCTAAATCATTTGAAAATATATATTTTGAATAACAGAGGTCCCAGGACAGAGGCCTGAGACACTCCACTTACAACATTTTCCCACTGATTTAACTCCATTTATACTAACTCTTTGTTTCCTTCGGTTAATATATCACCCCCCAATACCGTTAGCCTCGATCTTTTTTTCAGTCTTTCCTGTTGCACTGTATCAAAAGCTTTGCTAAAGTCAAAGTACACAACATCACAAACCTTACCACTATCAACTGCCTCAACTATGCTGGAATAAAATTATAGCAAATTTGTTAAACATGAACTGCTATTAGTAAAACCATGTTGTAAATCATTTATTAATCTATGTTTTTCAAAATGAAGACGAATGGTATTTGCAATTATCGATTCAAGCAACTTTCCCACAATAGCCGTTAAACTAATTGGCCGATAGTTTGACGCAAGTGATCTATCTCCTTTCTTGAAAATTGGTACCACATTAGCAACCTTCCACGACTCTGGCACTCTGCCTGACTCTAATGATCTATTTAATATGGTAGATAAGGGCTCGCAAAGCTCCTCTTTGCATTCTTTAAGCACCCTGGCAAACACTTCATCCGGCCCTGGGGATTTGTTAAAGCAAACACAGTACACTTTCGTCATAGGAGATTCCTACATTGGAATTCACTACCAAATTTATATATCCAGTATTATATGCATTATGTTATTATATGCATAATTTGTTGTTTTAATAATATTACGGACTGATGTTTAATTTATTTGTAAATGCATCACATCTCAACAAAGAGCAGTATATTAAGTCGTTAGCTCTCAACCAACGGCCCCCTCTGGAAGGGAGTTAAGAACAATTAGTGAGAAAATCCAATTATAATTAACCAAACAATTAATATAAATTACAATTACAATAAATCCAACAAGAATTAACACCGGATATACGACGAACATCCTAACAAGATGTTATATATCTTCAACAGTAGAAAAAAAAGTATTTGCTACATAATACCAGCACGGTATAAAACCTTCATAAGCTACGGAGTAATAATAATATAGCTGATGCCATCTGTCGACAGAATAGAACACTATCTGGTAAATAGTAGCCATAAGATACAGCTTATGACATCTATTAGCATCAAATTACACTAAAACAAGCCGCCTACAAAATACAGCTACCGCCATCTGTTGCGTCGCCCATGCACTATCAATAGCCAAACAGCAACCCATAAGACAGGGTGTTGTACTGAAGTAAGAATTCTCTCGCTTGTGTATCATTGGTAGATATTTTTTGTTGACATTCACCACAACAGCCTATCACAGGAAGGAATCAGCTAAAGGTTAATAAATCATCTTTGTTCGGCATACTAGCCCTGTTTATGACATTCTGTTTCAACTTTAATCTACCTAAAAAGTGAAGTATTAACTATTTAAAAGTATAAATAAAGTGATAATTAGATATTGCAGGATATGACAGATGTTATAGAAAAATGGCCTGGCTACCTAACGTCCTAACGTGAGACGTCTTCAGTGAAGGTTGCCTCACAAATAATAATAATAATAATATTAATAATCTATAACATCGATGATACGATGCTTCACCCTCCTATTGAACTACATTATTAAGTTAGATGGAAATTTCTATCAGGACTAAAACATGTGCAAAAGGACGTATTTCTTAGTTTGCATTTCATTCATAGAAAGAGTGTTGGCATTCCCTGCAACAGCCAATCACAGGAAGGTATTTGCCACACGAACGTAATTATCAAAGGAAGGCACCAAGCCGGGAAGGGTATGTAGCACGTATATGCTACATGCTCCGCCTTCTATTGAAATCATCATCTGGAGCGTTCAGTACACCAATCTAACTTATGGCAGTCTGTTTTATTTCTTTTTATATGCAAAGTATGAAATTTCCATTACTATAATAATTAAAAATAAAAAGTTGTTGCACAAAATGGCTAAATTCAGTCATTAAAAAGAGCTCATAGTGGATCTTGTAATAGAGTTTTATGGGAGGGGTTTCCATCCGAGGGATAGAATTTAATCCTCTATTAGAGGATAGAATTAATCCTCTCTTCTAGATATTCTCTTCTAGATAAAATTAATCCTCTCGGACGTAAGTTCGAACTCTCGTCACGGCCCTTGTGAATTTGTTCATATAATTGAACTTACAGAGTATTGGGGATAGAATTTCAGAGACAGCTTCAGCGATTAGATTAATGACAGGCCGGAAAGCTAATAAATTAATCCTCTCACTTCAAAAGGTGGGAAGAAATGAACACTGCATCTTAAAGTGTAATAAGAGAATAAATATGAGACCCTTATGTTCTAATGACGAGTTAGAGACTGAAATAATTTTCTTCAATGACGGAAGTTTTCTTCCATGACGAGTACTGGGGAAGTGAGATAGTAGTAGCAGCCATCCTGCAGTCTTGGGAGACTATGGAGGTACGTTCTGGCGGGCTCTTACTACACTGGAGACATCTCCCGTCACGCAGGGTGCAGTCGCACCTCCACAGATCTCCAGTATCAGCTATTGATACTGGTAATGGCTCAAAAGGGCCACCACTTACGGGCTATTCATGCCCGTGTCACCTTTTGGGTTGTTTAATCTTCATCAATCAATCAATCATCGGCTCTCACTATGACCCCTTATAAGTGGTCTCAGTGAGATAGGATCACATAAACCCCAGCTCAGGTAGTTTCAAAGTTTGGGGGGAATGGGAAATTATCAGAGGAAAAAGCCAAGCCATTACGACTATATAGCACTTGGAAGGGGTCAGGATAAGGATTTGGGATGGGACAGAGTAAAGGAATTGAGCCCAACCACTTGGATGGTCGGGGATTGAACGCCGACCTGCATGAGGCGGGACCGTCGCTCCACTATCCAGCCAAAGGTTGGCTGGGCTCCAAAGGTTGGCTGGGCTCCAAAAGTTGGTGGGCTAATCCCTTTACCAAAGACATTATCAACTTTAGGTCGGATAATCCAACGGAAACAGCAGGGATCGAGTGAAATAAAAGCCGGATATAAAAGTACATGTGTGTGCTGCGGTCTCAGACCAGTGGTGGGTCCAGTGGTGGACATGTTAAGGGGAGTGAGATTCACGTGTCTCCACTGAAGTTCATCACTACTGTATATTGAGTAAGTACTGGTCCCTTACATTCTAACGTCACGTGTCGAGAATTCTAATTCCTAACTAGGGAAGATAGAGTAGGATCTTAATATTGAGACGAATTAAATAAAATTATAATATTAAAATGTCCATCGTTCCTGTCTATTCATCCACAGAGAGTTGCTAGGCCCAGATAACCTTTGGGTATCTCCTTAAGTTGTGGTTGTTATTATTACATGCTAAATTATCTCCCTCGCACCCTTAAGGCGTAATTATCAAAAGTGCTGAAAGTAAAGAGAGGTGAGAATTGCTTCGATGTCAATTCTTTATATCCAATTCTTGACTTATTTTAATTAACAAACTTAGGTATACGCAGCAATGTGCTGCTGCGTACGTACGCTATTCTATAAAAGATTACACAGCGTAGATAAAAAACTAGCTATAAGTTCATCTAATATTCCATCTCACAAGATGGTTAGTCATACATGGAGTCACGGGAGCAAATACTTGCCTCAATACAAAAACAAATAAACTCTGACTAAAAAACTAGCTATAAGTATATTCCCACCCATCAAAGTACTACTAGTGTCAAAAGATTGTTATTTGCTTAGCTAAACGAACTAGGGAGTTCAGTTCCTGAACCGATTATGTGCCTCTGTAACCCTTTACACCACCGCCCACCGGATGAGTATGGGGTACATAACAAAGAAAGAAATTGAATTAATATTCCCATCTCACAGGACGGTTAGTCATACGGTAGTCATACATGGAGTCAGGCGAGAAAATACCAACCTCTATATAAAAACAAAAACAAATCAACTATGACTAGAGAACATGAAATGTAGAGTTGATCTATTAGCCTCCACTAGCAAAATCTGGGTACAGCACAAGAATATCGTCCAATATTCCTGAGTGTATGAAGTAATTTACAGGTTTGTATTAACAAGATTAGATACATAACACTGCGCACCTGCCCTATTTGAGAGATTACAGAGCTAGATTACGTTTATATATTATTATATCAACCTCTGTAGGATTAAGGTCATAACAATATTTTAGTCCTGAGTATATTCTAGGACAATAATGTAGTATATACACCGAGAAGCGGGTTACACCTCTTGGTATAACTTAAAATTTCAGCTTTGCTTGGCTGCGTTTCATACTATTGCGTTCCCGAGCATAAATATATATTTTTAATCACATTTTCTATTAGTGGCAATATGTTTAACATTATTTTTTTACTTTATATTTTTTTTAAATTTAAGAAAAATTAATGATAGAAGTGTCTGAGTCATATTTTGGTATTCGACTGTAATACCCCATGGCATTATTTTAGGGACATGAGAACACAGCCGCATATATTATATTACATGTGGTGAAACTTTAAACACATATTTGACGTAGGCAAATGAAGTAAAAGCAGAATATAGATATATGTACACAAGAGAAGTTTCCACACCCCGTCATTCATTCCGGTATAGGAGGAACGAGGAACGGACCACAGAGAAAACAGCTGGCAAGAGGAGACTGACAGCAACATTGTTTGAAGTTCTATAATTTTTTTTCACTTCGGTATGTTAGTCTTTTGTGTTGACCTTGAAATAAGAGTATGTTTAATATGCGTCAGCAATTGGTTGTCTTGCTGAATAATTGCTATGTAAAATAAATTTGATATACAAGAAAATTAGTTTGTCAATAATCTGATAATACTGTACTTCTTTTTACATCATTTTCCCATTATATTTCGAAGTGGTTATAATATCATAAATTATAATATGTGGCCAGAACATTATTTTCACAACTAGTTGCTGTATTTTCTTCCCTGGAGCTAAGTTGAGGCTTTATCAAGTATGCCGGGGAATAATGTTTTTTGTTTTGCTTCCATTAAAAGGCATAATATATTGGACTCACTCGCATAGGATAACATATGATAGATGAAATTATAGTTGTTTAGTCAAAGTTGGTTGGTGTTTGTATTGAGGCTGGTATTATTAGATGAACTTACAGCTACATTTTGATCTACACTGTAATCTTTCATATAGAATAGGGTAGCAGCACATTGCTGTGTATACCTAAGCTTGTTAATAAAAAGAAAAAAGAAGGAAGTTTTAGATAGATATAATTGGCAATGTTACTTGTAGGGTCATTCGTATAATTAAAGTTTACAATTAGGGCTTAATGTCTGAAGGTCTTTGCTATTGTGAAGTGATCTGGCAGTATTTATTTTTGTATTTGACCATTTCGGTCCAGGATGGACCGAAACGTTGTCGTCCCTTCACCTTCTAAGTGTGTGGTCTGGTCAACATACTTTAGCCACGTTTTTGTATTTATTTATATACAAGATGGTACATTGGGTTTATGAGAGTACATAGCATTGATGTTTTTACATTCTAGCAAAGCTACTAACATGCATAGCACTTCAGGCAGTACAGTCTTACAAGTATAGTAAATTTTGAATCACATTGAAAAAAAAGTACAGTATAGCCTAATACATTGGCTGATACAACGTCATCTGTTTAAGGCAAAATTTTATATACAGTATCTTTTTCATAAATAATTACAGTCCAGAACTTAGAAGAAATGGTTGCAGTTGAGAGGAAGCTGTTATTGCTTAGAGAAATCTGTAGGTAGATGTTCAATTAAATAATAATAGTGTGGTAGTGAGAGGAAGGTTACCCACATGTTTACATTGTGTGAGAGGAAGGTTACCCACATAGTTTACATTGTGTGTCAGAGGAAGGTTACCAACATAGCTTACATTGTGTGAGAGGAAGGTTACCCACATAGTTTACATTGTGTGTGAGAGGAAGGTTACCTACATAGTTTACATTGTGTGTCAGAGGAAGGTTACCCACATAGTTTACATTGTGTATTAAGGGTCATTGCTGTCACTGTATTTCCAGGTATTTTCATATCCAAGTCTCACTCTAGCCACAATAGCCTGTTCTTCCCTTGTAACATCCAGGCTTACAGTTAATATTTACTATTCTTGGAACCAATAACATCATAGATGTTTTTGGGTCCAGCCAATGTTTTTCAAAGGTAATATATTTATGCAACAAGAGCATACATTGTTATGGTTATTTCATGATAGGGTGAGTTGTATCCACATCTCTGATAGCCACATCATATTTTTAAATGCATGAAAATTCAAATATGCATCTTCAGCGTATATTTTTCAACTGTGCAGTACTGTATAGTGTTTATTCTGCAATGGAATTCAGTGTATTTCATAATTTATCACTATAACTTGTTAAACATTTTTTGTTTTTAGATATAAATGTACAGTACTGGTATTTTTAAATGTGTTTTTATTTTAAAAGTTTTGTGTGCATGACCAGATGGACAACATAGCTCGTGATTTCCACAAAGAAGAAGGAATTATCACTGCATGTGTAATTTCAGTTTAAGGTGAACCCCATCTATGAGGCATTTCCAGAGAAATGGCTTACTTGCCACAAGTGATGTAAGCTGATTTTTGTTTCTGTAAATTAGTGTTGTTTGGTTCTGTGGTATGTAGTTATTAATTTGTTTTGTTTGTAATGTAGATTTTTTTTGTATTCAGCTGGGCATTCAAAATCAGAAATGGCTGAAGCTAAACCCATTGTGACTTTCTGATACTTCAGATTTAAGATTCTTATTACCTCAATATTATCTTGAGAGGTTATCTTGAGATGATTTCGGGGCTTTTTTTTTAGTGTCCCCGTGGCCTGGTCCTCGACCAGGCCTCCATCCCCAGGAAGCAGCCCGTGACAGCTGATTAACACCCAGGTACCTATTTTACTGCTAGGTAACAAGGGCATAGGGTGAAAGAACTCTGCCCATTGTTTCTCGCCGGCGCCTGGGATTGAACCCAGGACCACAGGATCACAAGTCCAGCATGCTGTCCACTCGGCAGACCGGCTCGACCGGTTCTTATAGTCAAACATATGGTGCAACTTTACCAAATTTTAATGTACAGTACTGTAGTCTGTTATTTAACATGACTTATTTGTACAAGATAATTAATTGCATGAAAATGCAAGGGTATGACATTGCAGACCTAGTGTACACAGACACAAAATAATGTGTATTCAGTTGTCCCTCTAAGGGGAGGCAAAATATGCTCACATCTATAGTCCTTAAGGTCATAAATGATTTTCCCAAAGAAGACAATCAAATACACCTTTTCCTTGGATTGAAAAACACCTGCAGTAGTAAGGGTAATAAAAGCATGTCAGAGACACTTAAAATCAGAACATAAATGAGAACAATTATAAAATAGAATAATAAAGTACAGTACTGTACATAAATATTATTGGCATTACAGTAGGTGTAATAAGTTATCACCACTGAGCACACAGTTGCTATACCTGCTTGATGGGGTTCTGAGAGTTCTTCTACTCCCCAAGCCCGACTCGAGGCCAGACTTGTGAGAGTTTGGTCCACTAGGCTGTTGCTTGGAGCGGCTCACAGGCCCACATATCCACCAGCAATTTATATCCTAATCACATAAATACGAATCCTTACACTAGAAAGAATAGGAGTTTACTCAGTACAACATACGACTGTTTAAACTAGTAAGACGGGTCCAAGTGCTAGTCAATAAAAACATTAGTAAACCCTAACATTATCTTGCATGAAGAGAGGGAGGGGTAACTGGAAACCTCACCCAGGTTGCACGATTAATCACCCTCATCCGTCGGTCATCTGTCATCCATCTGCGGCTTGCCTTCCCATTCTCAGAAATGGAGGGGATGGTCTACGTCCTCAATTTCCCTACTACATAACACCCACATATCACACCAGCAAGGAATTCGCATATCATGAAGCACACAGAAAAATCTTGCAAATTCGACAGGTTTGCAATTAGACTAGTATCAGAATTGTCAATTGACACAGGTCTAGGGAACTCACCTTCACAATCTCTGAACAAGAAGGAACAGAGACATATTAAAAATATTTGGGTACAGTAGCCTTGTCTTTCATATACAATATTAATGCATTTTGATGTCGATTTGCATTGTATATATACAGTAGTATCTTGAGATTATCTGGTACCATGTGTACTGTACAGTTCATCAAAATCATTTAGAAGTATGTACAAATGTATTTTATTTCATCTAATAGTAATTGTTAGGTAACAAAGCTATTATTGTTTTGTATGTAATGAATAATTTTGTGCAGTACAGTATTGCCATACTCAAGGATGAATGACATTATATATTTTTTATATTTGTTATTTCAGATTGTGGGATGATGATATGGCCTTTCAGATGATTCCCCCCAGGTTGTCGTCATCTCCACCTCCTCTAGACTCACTCCCAACTGTGGCTTGCCCAGGAGAGGAGGATTATGATGATGAATTTGGGAGCTTCTCGACTCATAATGCCTCCTTTGATATTACCGGTTAGTAAATGTTCTATAATTTTAGGATGCTTTTACTTGAACAGTACACTAGCCTATTGAGATTACATAAAATTCACATTTCAAATGAGGCTTGTGATGTAATACAGTACTAGTATTGTAGACTAGGAAAAAATGGGAGACATGTACGATTTTCACGCAGAATTATTCTCTCTCCTTTGAAGATAATTTTTATAATGTACAGTATAACTATTGCTATTATGACTGTATAACTTTTGACAAAAATCAGTATCCTATAGGTCTATTTGTTGATCTGCATAATGTTTTTGGACATGGTTAACCATAGTAATCTTCTTAATTGAAACTGAACCACTATGGAATCAGGGGTCACACCCTTCAATACTTTCTATCTCACCTTAGTGATAGGAATCGATATGTTTCTGTGAATGATACTACTACTCCCACACTGCCAATTAACATCGGTGTTCTACAGGATAGTATACTTGGTACATTCCTCTTTCTAATTTACATCAGTGATCTGCCAAATATCATAATATGGCTGAAACTAATTCTGATGATAAAACCTTAATTTTCACAAATGCTAACCCTACTCATTTTAACTCATAATGAATATTTAACTGTAAGAGTCCATTTGTGGCTGAGTACAGTACTAACAAACTCACCCTTAACATTGAAAAACACACTAAATATTGTTTGGGAAACAAATAAGCCAAGTGAATTGAACTAAGAATTAACAATACTGAAGTTGTTAGCAAAGTAGATGGGAAATTCCTTGGTGTTCACATTAACAACAAACTTATAATAATAAGTTTGCAGTTAATAATAATGAAACTAAATAATAATAATTTTATTATTATTATTATATTTATTATTATTATTGTTTATAATGTCACATTATCATAGTTTGTATAAGACTAGGATATCTTCCTTAGTCACACTTGTCCAATTGAATCATTGCAGTTTAAGTCTTAGCCAGAGCAAGGATTGGCTTTGTGCAACATCATATTTTGTATTACTTTAATACAATTTTCTTGTCATGGTACCAAAGCTGGGCTCTAGTTTCTCATGCATACTGCCCAATATCACGGCACTTGCAGATACTTTGTTAAATATTCAAAATATAGAAAACTGTGGTTTATTGTTATTAATAGTTAAATGTCATATTTAAGTGACCAATTTTTTTAAATTAATTTCAGGCCTATCTGATAAGCTGCCTCCCACCCCAGACACCAGCCCTTCCAAATTAGCACCAGCAGGACATGGAACAGGACACATTTTACCTTCATTCTTAGAAGGAGTTAGGGATGATAATATCAGTCAAGATTCAGGAGTGGGCAGTTCAAACCATCCAAACGAATTCTCTCCACAGCCTCAAGTGGATGATCACTCATTTGGGGATTTCTCAAATTCTGTTACTGGTGTTTTTAAGGGTAATGACGAATCAATAGATACGGTGAAGAGTGATGATGGAGATGACTTTACAAATTTTCAGGCTTTCAACTCCATTGCCAGTGAACCTCCAAGAATTCATGAACCAGAACACACAGGTCAAGGTCATGGCAGCAGCTCTAGTCAAACATACTCCACGGTGCATGAGTACCCTGAAAGTGTTGGCAGGAGATCATCTAGGAACAGTTTTTCCATGATAGGTACTCCCCCACCTCTAGATTATGTGGCAAATAGTGCGACTGTAGAAGATGAATTCTCCAGGTTTTCTTCAATTCTTTCGGCTGATAATGTTTCAGCTGATAATGATGAGTTTGGGAATTTTACATCTAATAAGGTATCAGAAATTATTAATGGAGAATTGTCATCTACAGAAAATGAAAGGTATAATAAAAGTTCACCAGTACCATACAACAGAGAAAATCTCACCTCAGAAGATTTGGTAAAAAATAGGGAAAGTTCCTCATTAAGCAGGCAAGAAAATGTGTCAACTGTTAGCAGTGTTAATACCATTAATATTACAAGTAAAGCTAATAATATAGATGAAAACAGAGGTTGTTCAGCAGAAGATGATTTACATTCAGGTAGTTCTAGTAAGACACACTGTGTTATCAATGAAAGTGTGTCTACATGTATAAAAATGTGTAATGAATATAGTTCACAAGTTTCCAGAACTCAGGATGAAAGGCTGAACGTGGGAAGTGAAGCTCTAAGTACTACTACTTTACAAACTGAAAATACTAGTACAGTAATTTTAAATCAGAAAGATGAAATTGCCAGTGTTTGTTCCTCTGATGTGTCTGAAAAAATCAAGAGTGAGTTTATGCATGTTAAAAATGCTGGAAATGTGCAAGAAAATCAATATATAAAGGTAATTGGCACTTTTGAAAGTGCTGATACACATTGGGAAAATGAATTGGAAGAAAAATGTGAACTAAAGGTAATAGGTTGTGATCATGGGACAGATAATGAATGTATTAACTGTACACACTTAAGTGGAGAAAAAAATAATGCAGAAAATTATTCCGGTTCTAAGTCTTACATAAGTGCCTGTAATTCTGGTGATAATTTTAGTAGTGAAGTGAGAACAGAAAATAGAACGACAAAAGAAGAAAATGGTGAGATCCAGTGCAATAAATCATACAGAATGAAAAGTAATGATATTGCAGTGTTAGAGGAACATTGTTCAGATGATTTTGGAGATTTTAATATGGTCGATAGTCAAAGTGAATCAGACTTTGGAGACTTCAGTAAAGCGAATGATGATGATGACCTTGATTTTGCTGATCTAAGGGCGCAGGTTGAGAGTGGCACATTTGGAACGGGGGAAATGGTTCAACCAGCTCCTGAAGATGTTGGCACATTTTGTGATATTAATACAAAGAGTGTAAATGTAGAAGATGAATTTGGAGATTTTAATGCTTCTACAGCAATTATTGACAGTGAATTTGGTGACTTCGATAGTGCAGATATTGGTGATGAGTTTGGTGATTTTGCTGTGCATGAAACCCAGAGTGCTTCTGTAAATTTGACATGTGGACAAAAGTATGGTCTAGAGGATGATTTTGGTGATTTTAGTAGCCCTGAAGATGCAAGAGACTTTGGTAATTTTACTCGGGTTGGCGGAGAGAGAGAGCCAAGCATGGGAGACTTCAGTACCTCGTGGAAGGAGAACTACTTTGGCACTTCATGCAGCAGTAGTCCAGTTTTAAGAAAGGTATGTACTGTAGTTCTAAAGTTGATTTTCTTTATAATTTTTTTTTAAATATACAGGTATGCTATCATTTATTTGATATCAATCAGAGAGAGACATAAATTGATAAAATGAAGATGCTCTTCTGTTTAACTTGTTTTTCCTTTTATCATTGTTCTACCCATTTTAAGTCAGCCTTTGAACCTATTTTGTGATTTGGAAACAAATTTTAAATCCCCCAACCGGTTATGGGGTATATTATTATCTGCTATGTAATCTACAATTTATTTAATTTAAATTTATCTTTTCTGGACAGCCCTCTCTGTCCAGAAAATTACTGAACACTGGTCATTACTTAACAGTTTAGCCATGTCAGGCACTAATGAGAATCCCTAGCCTATGGGGACAAACTCTTGTTCCTTTCCCACAGCGAGGAGTACGTGGGGAATATGCGGGCATGTGAGATGTGCCGAACTATGAAAACAGTTCTTTGACAGCAGGATAATTAGCATAAAAAATGGTACTCTTGTTATGGCACCAAGAGGCTTCTGCGGTGCCCAGTTGTTGAGCAGTCATGTGTTCACTTTTCCCATGGACTTGTTTGTCCAATTCTTGGAGCTTGTGCTTATGTTTCAGAAGTTTGTAGTCTGTCCATAAGCTTAGGGAAAATACCAAGGCTATGCCCAGAAAAGGACATTTTTACCACACTTGATGCTTAATTTTTATGTTAAAATACTACTTAGCTAGATTTTTTTTTATTAATTTGTTAGACTTGTACAGCAGCAGCTCTAGCATATTGTATTTGACAAATGCAGTTTGATTTTTTTATGTATATACTGTATATTGTAAATTATGCAAATACCAAAGTATCTTTCAGTTTCTTCAAATTATCTTAGCCCTAGATCATTTTGCTTCTTTGAATTGACTTTGATAAAGTTTTGCTAAGATTGAAAAAAAAGATTTGGTGAAAACATGATATTTGAAGAATAATGATAAGTCTCTATCCAATATTTGCTATTACTGGCTGCTTTTGAAATGGGGTTCAAAATACTCTACTGTATATACTGTTCTGGTAATTGTTGCCTATTTTAAAATAAGAAAACCCTTCCACTGTTAGAATACCATGGAGGGTGGATGAATATTTTAGTATCCCTATGAATATTGGTTAAATTTCACATACTTTTTGGTTAATATGCATAGATACATTGTAGTGTTGCTGGCCTTGAAGTTCTAGATTAATATCATAGAAGTTCTAAATTATGTTACTTAGGCTAAGTAGTACAGTATTGTGTTGGATTACAGTGCTGTCTAGTGTGTTGTATGTTCAAAACCTGAGAATATTAGATTACAGTGGCATTGTGTGGCAACAAGTAACAATAACCACAGTTTTTTTATTATTCTATCATCTCTGTTTTTGTTATCTTTCCTGTGTAAAGGGAAATTTTTTTTCCCACTGGGAACAGGAAATAGCTTGTATAGTTTTACAGTAATAGTACTTCTGTGGTGTAGTGGATAGCACACTTGCCTAGCAAGTGAGAAGTCCCTAGTTAGAATCCTGGGTAAGGTGGTATGATGTGCCTCTGTTCCTCTAATTTTTCCCCCTGTTCTCCTAAAAGTAACTCAAAATGTGGATATGAAATAATTGGTGGCTCAATGTTCTGGAAAAAAAACATACGGAAAGACTTTTAAATGAACTCTAGTATGGAAAGCTCTTAGTCTGCAAACAAGTAGGAATGCTTGTGCTCCAGTACCCTCTATATACTGTACCTGTATATTAAAAAAAAAGATTTGTATACAGTATAAAATTCACTATACTGTACTACCATTAATGAAAAATCTAAGTTTGCCAAGATACAGTAGTGGTATACAAAATAAGCCCATATAATTTATTTTTCTCTTAAAATTATCAAGTTGGCTGCAGGTACTAGTGACAAGGTTATAGGTTATAGGTATCTTATTTGCTAATCTTAAAGCTGATATTTTTGCCATCTTTAGTAAGGTTTTATTTTAACTTGGTGTTTCTGTACATTGTCAGTACTGTGCTTTATTTAACCAATTGTTTTATTATAAAGAAAGAAGTTGGAAGTATTCTTTCTGGCTAAGAAATACTAATTTATGAATAAGTAACCCACTAATTTATGAATTAATTAATTAACCCGACCCCAACACACAAAATGAAAGTGGTAGCATTTCAGTGCAACCTGGACCCTTATCAAGTCCAGGATGGGTTGAAACATTGTCACTTTCATATGGGGTGGGTTGGGGTATTTGTTTCAAGTACATTACTGTGCCTTATTCTCTGCACAAATGTATGACTTGGCACATCATTGTAGTACAGTATTGTAAATCACAAAGGTATATTAATCTTGGCAAAGAACATCAAGCCTGGACTAATAGTAATTTTGATACTACAGTACTGTACTGTATCATATGTACAGTATTCATTAATGAATTGTAAGAGTATGTTTTGTCTGAGGGATGACAATTTTGAGTGACTACTTGTGGAATGCATCTTCTGCTCCCGGGATTCCAAAATGTATTTGGATTCTTTTATTGTATAATATTTGATTATACAAAATACCATAGTAGAATGTATAGTGTAGTAAATTAGTTTGCACTGTCATTGCCTTGAGTATATTTTAAATGGGTTCTAGGACGTCTACTATCCCTGCAACCCTCCCTAACATACATCACCCTGAACATCACCCTGTCTAGCCTTCAACAAATTTCAACCCTGCGCCTAGCCTAAACATCACCCCTTCCCTAGCCTAAATAGATTTCACCACTCCCCTAATCTAAGTAGATTTCACCCCTTCCCCCAGGGATCCAATTCCAATTTTATAGATGCTGGAGTTCTGGCGGGCCTAACAAAAACCAGTCATTTCCTATCCTGTTTCTATATATGTCACATGATTAAGTATTTTGTGTTTGTACTCAATAATTATCATAAAATATAATTATCAAACAATTAAAGAAAAAACATCAATCATGTATTTATCAATTTAAGAAGTTAAAACACTTAGTGCTCACAAAATACAACCTTTGAGAAATTCCACAAAAGTTTCTACAAAGGGTCAGGTGTGAGATGTTTTCGGGTCTGGAGCAACTCTTGTCCTGGTGTCATCTGCCGATTGGTACCGCAGCCATGATGTGGCATATGGCTCAGGATTCCACTGAACTAGAGGAGGCCCAGGTAGTTTAACAAACATAAGTGCTGATACATGATTCATGAGAATTCTTGAGTGTGTTGTTCTTATTATCAGGTTCATGTGACTGAATCCCCTCTCACACTCAGCAGTACTAATAGGAATAACTTGTAAACAGCTCAGTAATTGGTGTAAGTCTTGGGGAATGTGGCATCCATGATCCTCCACATACTGTAGTCTCAAAAATGCTTCTGTGATAGAGATAAATCCATGGACCACCAGCCACCACTTTACTAATGCAACTGAAACACAGAAGCAGAGTTGCCAACTCAGTATTTCACACAACGCTAGAACCACCCCAAAAAGCACTATATTATGTAAAGTTGTGTGGAACAGTTATGTTGTTTTACCTGCCTATTATTTAATACTAAAATATACTATTGTATAAATAAAGAATACTTGTCTAATGAACTACTGCTAAAGTCACGAACATTTTCGCTGAATATTTGTATCCAAAGCAGTAAATTGCCAACTTTGTCTTATACTGTTGTCTCGCATAAATGGACAGGAAGCATTCACGTGCGTCAGGTATTATGTTTCCAGATTCGTACCAGTACAATTTAGCCTGTTTACTTTTTATATCTATACAAATTTAAATATTGAATCTTTAAAAAAAATGAAGACATGTCGTAACATTATTAACTTATTAATGATGTAATACTAATATTTTCCTGCCACGATCAACCATCACCCACAAGCCATCTCCCTTTCCCCCATTCCATCATCCACTTGCAGAGGTGCCGGAGCACTGCTCCAGTGAGCTCCAGCAGTACTGCACCACTGCCCTTCCCTAGCCTAAGTAAATTTCACCCCTTCCCAGCCTACATTGATTTAATACCTTTCCAAGTTTGCACATGTCTCTTCCCTCTGTTAGTCTACAAAGTTTTCACCCCTTGCTTAGCTTTCACAGATTTTCTCCAACGTGATTTGCCCTCACACACTTCATCAGCATATACACTTTTTGTCCAGGCTTATTCTCTACATCAGATTTAGTTTACACTGGCAAAATTGTCCTCATTATCTGTGTCTTGGTTGTTTTTTCTTACTGTGTCTAATCTTTCAACATCCCTCTTCTTCCCTCATTCTTCAAATAAACAAGGAGACAAGTCAGGATATTTCTTGTACACGTATGAGTAGGAGGAAGGGAAATTTAACAAGTTTTTTATATACAAAATGTCATTTTGTATTTTTTGTCATTTTTTCTAGCTGGAAAGTTTAGTTTTAAAATGGATCCCAAAGGGCAAAACAGCATTCAGCTTGCAGGAAGAGCAGCCAGTGCCAACGCTTCACCAGGCTGTTGAGAGTGACGCATTTGTGTGGCGGCAACTTGAGAATCTGGAGGCTAGTGCGGCTCTCACACTAACTTGGGGCAACACTCAAGCTCACAACTTCTTCCTGTCCTCAGTCAACGTTGACGCTCGCAACATTGTGAGTAAGGAAGCACTGATCACGGTAAACACCCTCTTGGCACCCCCATTGTTTTGTTGTGCATCCTAACAGCAGGTAGCTGGGGGAAAGACAATAATTGTACAGTATTTTTAATGCAGTTATCAATACCAATTTTTGTTTATAACAAATTACAAACTAAATTTATTTTTGTAAATGTAATACAAAAAGAATGTAACCATGTTATGGTATTGAGAGTAAATATGCATTTATCATTACAGGTACTGTATTTGGCAATTTTTTACAAATTGTTTATTTCTGCATACTATACTGTATATGGATGGCTTAGGTGCTGCAAGCTTCTCAAGAAACTACCTATCCTTCTATGTTAAGGAAGACAGGGATAACAGTTTTACACATTTCTGATGCTTTATAACAGTTCACCTGCTTTTCCAAGTTGATGTGTCAGTTGGATGAAGTTCATTGTCTCACTAAATTGGTCTATTTTAATTTTTAAAATTAGTGTGTTCATGAATAAGAAAATATAATACAGTGTTCAGAATATTGATTGTATTCATAAATGTTGTTTCGTTTATAATAACAATATTGTTTCGGATTAAAATTTGTGTTGTTTGATTATTATAAAACATATGGGGGGGGGCCTAAGCTGCTTTTGCTTCTGAGCTTTACTAAAAACAATTGTTGAAAGAGTATTTTTATGATCTATAACAGGTATTTTCTTTCCTATGTGGATTCAATTATTTAGTAATTTGAATCATTTTTGGAGTGCATTTGCATAAACAATAGTGTTTTTACTCAAGGTGATGGGTAGTTTATCTCAAGATCATCAAATTTGGACAAAATATCTACCGACTTCAAAGCATTAGAGGAAGCCCAGCCAACAGATCAAAAATGAAAACAAGCTTGAAATGACTACAGTACACGGTACTGTAGCAAGAAAGCAAACTTTAAAAAGAGATAAGGGACTAATGCAAAATGTAACCCAACCTATTCTTAACCCAAAATTATTCTAATAATTCATTAAAAGTAAATTTCATGTAAAGGATAAAATTAGGGATTGAGAAGGGGTATTTGACTCACAGAGGCAGGGAAGGAAATGTGCAAAGTTCAAAATATTAAGTTTCAAAGTATTTTCATGCAAAATGTGAATTTCTCAGCATCAGAGAGAGTGTAGACTTAGGTGCATAACTTAGAGCACCTTGATGCATCTAGAAATGATGTAAAAAAATACTCGTGTATTTAGGCATAACCAAGTACTGTAGTTGAACGCAATAGAGTTGCAGTTTGTGTACTAAAAGAATGCTCTCATGAGTATAACTTCCTACTACAGAATAACTTTCAGGCAAATTTTCAAACAGGAAATCTTGCAGAGATGAAATTTATAAAGACTGAGGTAAGGACACGCACCAAATTACAGATCACTTTCACTGATTTGTGTGAAACCCATATTACTAAAGAATGTGATTAAACTATGGTACAGTAAATTGTTGGAATATTTAAGAGTAAACATAGTACTGTTCACACAAAAATCACAATGTGATATATCAAATGAACAAATCCACAAGGGCTTTGATGAGGATTCAAACCTATGCACCGAGTGTTCCCAGGCACGCTTTGGTCAACTGTACCATGACATGGTAAAAGAATTGCAACCTGGAATGCTACTGCCCTCATGACGATCCCGAGGCTTCTACTGTAGCCTAACCGGGGCTTCACACAATTCCCCCATGCACTCAAATTGTGTGAATTATGTGAATTCGCCATAGTGAATCTATGCTAGTCATCTACTGGCATAGAGACTTGTTATGCACCTCAAAATGATCTAGAAAAATTTGTGCATGGAACAACAAAGGACAAATGGAATTCAGTGTTGATAAATTCCACATAATGAAATGCAGAATAAGGGAAAAGGGGGGCCATTTACCTTAAGAATTATGTAGAGAGATGCTAATGCATGCATGCATACATGAGACCTAGAGCAATAAATGCAGCAGTTATATGGTGTTTATACCTCAAAAAGCATAGTATTAACTTAGAAAAGGTATGAGGATGTACTAAATGGCTCCCAGACCTAAAAAACCAAGAGCTATGAGGGGGCTGTTTGTGTTAAATATGTCAAAACTAATGGGGAAATTGGCAATATGATCACCACATACATAATCAGGAGAGGAATCTGGAAATTTGGTAAAGAAGAATTTTTGGAGATCTGCAATTTCAAGAACAAGTGGCCTTACAGTACTATAGATTCATGCTAAGAAAACAAATGTAGTGAGAAAACTTAAGAAAATTCCTTCTCATGAATGGCGTTATAGACAGATGGGATAAATTAAATAAGAAGGTAGTGGATGTCAAAATCATCAGGAGCTTCAAAATATCGTATGAAAAAGATTATAGGGAAGATCTACTGTAATAACACTATGGTAATTAAAATGACTCGCTAACTCTAGTCCCTTCTTCCTCCTTATTCTTACTTTTTTGTGTGCACCTGTCTTGTACATCCTTCTAAAACGTAACCCCACACTGCAATCATTGTGACTTTAGTAAATAGCATTTATTTTGATTTGTTTGTTTACTGAACATAATGGGTGCTCATAATTAAGTTTTTAATCAATTATCTTCCTGCAGCTTTTTGGCCAGAAATGGAGTTCATCTGTTCCTCTATTTGCCCAAACACTCAGCTTCTCACCTTTGACTCCAGCAAAGTCAACAGAAGGCAGTGGAGGAGCTGCTGTTGCCCTCAGTGGATGTAGTAACAGAGAGCCAACACCTACTAGTACTACTATTACTGATGTCAGCTCTCAGCAGCAGTTGAAAAAGGAAGAGCAGATTCAAGTGCCATCTACAAAAGATGGCAGCTCAGAGGTAAGGTATGTGGAAACCAGTTCCACAATTATAATTGTTTTGTTTTATGCACAGGATAGCAAGTAATACTACACATGGTTGGGATGACTTTTAGTCATCCAATTACAATTACAATCTGTAATTGTAATTGTAATTCCTTGAAACCTCTCACACCTGTTTCTACAACTGTGTGTAATAACAAAGATAGATAATATATAAAATAATATATATGATGTATATGTGTACTGTAAATAGTAACAAAATTAAACATATACATATGCAATATAACAAATAAATCAGATTATGCAACATGACATAAAAATATGTAAGGGAAATAAAAGAACATTGGTAATGTCATGTTTGGATAGGATTGAAGTACTGTATCTAGAAAATTATATCTTTAAAAATGGGTTATTAATTTCCAGGAACAGATTCCCCCAGCAAAGTTTGACTGGACATCCAGTGGTCTCACTAATCCCTTGGAAGTTCCAGGTAAGATAAGTTTTTTCAATGTTAGTACAATACAGTGTGACTCAACTCAGACTTCATATTTTGTAACACTGCATGCTAATGCAACAGACTGGTCATTTCAATTGAGCGCTCTAAAGTGGAATAATTCAGAAACAGAGAAGTTAAGTTGTTAAGGAACAGAATGTGCTGGCTATAAATGTGTAACATTTTTTACAGAAATTTACCTTTTTCATGAGATGTGGTATGAAAATACAGTGGACACTTACATGGTAGAATTGTGGGTAGGTGGTATAGTAGATAGTGTGTGATGGGTAAAAATGCATTTATGTTTGGATGTGTGTGCATTAGTTGGCAGGAGGGAGTGTGGTAGTATTGGAGGGAATTTAGGTGGATGGGAAGGAGGGAGTGGGTGTAATTGTGAAGTTATAGTTAAAAGGTGAGAGCTAAAAGTCACTCTCCAGGCATGCTAAGCTCGTGATGTGCAATCTTCCTGGTGTTCTTTCTTGTATAGATTTGAAGATACTAATAGAGTTAACACACAGTGTCTTCACAAAGAAGTCATTCCACTGTTCTCCCCACTCTGTAATATATAATTTTCTTATCCTGTGTGTGTGTGTGTGTGTGTGTGTGTGTGTGTGTGTGTGTGTGTGTGTGTGTGTGTGTGTGTGTGTGTGTGTGTGTGTGTGTGTGTGCACTCACCTAGTTGTGTTTGCGGGGGTTGAGCTCTGGCTCTTTGGTCCCGCCTCTCAACCGTCAATCAACAGGTGTACAGATTCCTGAGCCTATCGGGCTTTATCATATCTACACTTGAAACTGTGTATGGAGTCAGCCTCCACCACATCTCTTCCTAATGCATTTTCCATTTGTGTGTGTGTGCCTATGTTTCCTTACTTTGTACTTTTCTCCTCTTATTCTGGATGTTGCAGGTTACAAGAATTCCTTCTTAACCACTTCTATAATACTGATAATCTTAGTAATCATACCACCTCTCTTCCTACATGTATCTTTAAATTTGAGCATGTTTAGTGCATCAGACCTGTCATTATAGCTTTTATTTTTCACATCATTGAGCCATTTAATAGCATGTATTTCAACCCCCTCTAGTTTAACCACTATATATTTTTTGAGGTATGGGCACCATATCATTGTAGCATATTCTTTCTTAAATCTCACATATTTCATGAAAAGTTTTCAGAGGTTTAGTCCATTTCAGTATGCGATACCCTAGTGACAGCGTAGAATATGCAATTTATAAATTGAATGTGGCATGTTCCCACTTATCTTGAAATCCATCACATGCTCTTTGTCCATATTCCATTCCATTAACTGTTTGACACCCTGAGCCTACGGTATTTTTTCTAGATTGTTTTGAAGTGTGGCAGTCAATTGGATCTCTTATCTTTCAAAGTACAGTATATATATTGCATTAGTATATTTTGGTAGCAGACTTTCCTGTAGGCATATATTATTGAATGTGACTAAAACTGTGAGATCAATGACTCTAGTACGAATCTTCTCTATTTCCTTACATTGTTTTTCACTTAAGAAGGACGTTGAAAAATTTACTCTCCAAACTCTTTCACCCGTGGCCCCCCCTGCAACCACATTTTCACCCGTGGCCCCCCCCCCCCATGCAACCACATTTTCACCCGTGCCCCCCCCCCCCTGCAACCCCATTTTCACCAGTGGCCCCCCCTGCAACCACATTTTCACCTGGGGCCCTCTGCAACCACATTTTCACCCGTGGCAATTTTTTCATAAATTAATAATTTAGGAAATATGATCTCATAACCATTTTCAGAGTAACATTTCTGGCATCTCCACTTACCTTCATCAAATGATAAAACAGCAGAAGAAAGCAGCAAAAAAATGGGAAATTTTTTTATCTGCAGGAGATTACCTAATGACCAGATTTTGCCATGACTCGCACTGTAATCTGGATTTTTCTCCAGACAAATAAACAAAATTTGAGGGCAGCTCTGATGAGCAGATCTGGTATGGAGGTTCAAATTTTAGAGGTGTCATTATGTTATTCCTTTCAAGATGTTTGACACACACAATCTGATAACTTTTTCAAGTGATTTTGATACCATTCAGATTAATGATTCTAATCTATAATTCAACAGATCTTCTGCCACATTTTTATGTAAATTGGATCAATGTTGTTTTCTAAATTTCTACTAATTTTACACTTTGTATAGATGCCTGGAAAATATTCTATAGTGGATAGCTGAGCTCATGTGCATGCGCTCTCAGAACTCAAGGTAATACTCCACCTGGCTCTACTGCCTTGTGTTTACCTAAATCCCTGAGTGATATTTCAATGTTTCTCTGCACATTTATGTTTTCTGTTATACTTCAATATGAGGGTGCATCTTATGCTGTGAAGTCCTTACCGTTTACACACACACACACACACACACAGGTTGATGGTAGTGAGTGGTGTCTAGAAGAAGCAGTAAAGGAAGTCAAACACTGCAGCAACCAAGATAAAACAAACATTAGGCTAGAAGTGAGGAAAGAATTGGCATCTAACCCGAAGTTGGTGCAAAACACAGTTGATCGGAGTAAGTCCCTGATCATTTTTGGCTGCAAAGAAAAGGCGATAACATCTAGGTCAGAAAGAGCTGTAGAAGAAGCTAAAGTAGTAGATAAAATTGTTGGCCTCGTGGAAGGTCTTACAAACAGAGAGAATGTGTGCGACTACAGGAGAATAGGCAGGTACGTAAAAGGGAAAGATCGACCTTTGAGGATCACCCTAAACGGTGCCAAACAGATGGAAGAAGTACTAAGGAATGCTAGAAAATTGCAAAGGGATGAGGATGGGAAAGGGTGGTCGTTAAGACGAGATCTTTCAAAAGAAGATAGAGAGAAGCTGAAACTGAACCTCGCCGAGGCAAAACATTTAAATGAGAGCAGGAATGAAGAAGAAATAAATTCTTTTTTCTACAAAGTGATAGGGGTAGGCAAACCAGTAAAGTGGTACATAAAGGCAAACCAACAAAATCAATAGAGAGAGGGGGAGTGAAGAATAAGGAGAGGGGGAACAAGTTCCTGAAGATTGCATACACCAACATAGATGGAGTGAGATCGAAGATACTGGAGTTAAGTGATGTAATACAGCTGCAGACACCAGACATTGTTGCACTCACGGAGACAAAACTTGAAGATGTAATTTTAAATGAGGTCATATTCCCAAGGGGCTACTCAATTTGGAGACGGGACAGAAAAATTAGGAAAGGCGGTGGCGTTGCTGTGCTGGTAAAAGAACACCTAAAGGTGAAGGAAATAATGACTGCCAATCCACAAGAAGTTGACATAATAGCACTAGAGATCTGCTATGAGGATGATAAACTAATGATGATAAATGCATATAGTCCACCGCCAAGCAGCACATGGTCAAAGGAGGAGCTAGATAGTAAACGTGAAGGTCTTATAACAATAATGAGAGAGATTATAGCGAGAGCGGATAACGATAGATCACGACTGTTGATAGTCGGTGACTTCAACTTGAAATCCATAGACTGGGAAGCATATGAAGCTAAAACAGAAGATTTTTGGACCTGTAAATTTGTAGACCTCATCCTGGAAACATTCTTGTATCAACATGTTAAACAAGCTACGAGGATGAGGGAAGGGGACGTTCCCTCCATGCTAGATTTGATATTTACCAGGAAGGAGGAAGAGATATTTGACATTCAGTACCTTCCTCCCTTGGGTAAAAGTGACCATGTCTTTTTGGGAATAAAGTATGCAATGCGTTATAAGCTGGAAGAAAATAAGGAGGTTGAAGCAGTTGAAAAACCAGACTTCAGGAGAGGACATTATGGTGACCTTAGAAATTTTTTTAGTGAGTATAATTGGACAGACTTGATGCTAGGCAAGGAAGTGAATGAGATGTATGGCAAGTTTTGTGAAATATATGATAAAGGCACAAAAAAATTTATACCAAAACAGAGATGCAGAACTAGGAAACAGGATTGGTTCAATAGAAATTGCGAGAGGGCTAGAGACCGAAAGACACAAAAATGGAATCAATACAGGAAGAGGCCGAACCCCCAAACATACCAGCGATACAAAGATGCGAGAAACAACTACACGGCAGTGAGGAGAGAGGCAGAAAGAAATTTTGAAAAAGGGATTGCGGACAAATGTAAAACAGAACCAGGTCTATTCTATAAATTCATAAACAACAAATTGCAGGTAAAGGATAATATTCAGAGGTTGAAAATGGGAAATAGATTCACGGAAGATGAAAAGGAAATGTGTGAAACACTAAACGAAAAGTTCCAAAGTGTGTTTGTACAAAATGAAATCTTTAGGGAACCAGATACAATAAGAATTCCAGAGAACAACATAGAACACATAGAGGTGTCTAGAGACGAAGTGGAAAAAATGCTCAAGGAGCTCGGTAAGAACAAAGCAGCTGGCCCAGATGGCGTTTCACCATGGGTTCTGAGAGAATGTGCATCTGAGCTCAGCATTCCACTTCACCTGATCTTTCAGGCATCCCTGTGTACAGGAATCGTAGCAGACGGGTGGAAACAGGCTAACATAGTTCCAATCTACAAAAGTGGCAGCAGGGAAGACCCCCTCAATTATAGACCTGTATCATTGACAAGTGTAATAGTGAAAGTATTGGAAAAACTAATCAAAACTAAATGGGTAGAACACCTAGAGAGAAATGATATAATATCAGACAGACAGTATGGTTTTCGATCTGGAAGATCCTGTGTATCGAATTTACTCAGTTTCTATGATCGAGCCACAGAGATATTACAGGAAAGAGACGGTTGGGTTGACTGCATCTATCTGGACCTAAAAAAGGCTTTCGACAGAGTTCCACATAAGAGGTTGTTCTGGAAACTGGAAAATATTGGAGGGGTGACAGGTAAGCTTCTATCATGGATGAAAAATTTTCTGACTGATAGAAAAATGAGGGCAGTAATCAGAGGCAATGTATCGGAATGGAGAAATGTCACAAGTGGAGTACCACAGGGTTCAGTTCTTGCACCAGTGATGTTTATTGTGTACATAAATGATCTACCAGTTGGTATACAGAATTATATGAACATGTTTGCTGATGATGCTAAGATAATAGGAAGGATAAGAAATTTAGATGACTGTCATGCCCTTCAAGAAGACCTGGACAAAATAAGTATATGGAGCACCACTTGGCAAATGGAATTTAATGTTAATAAATGTCATGTTATGGAATGTGGAATAGGAGAACATAGACCCCACACAACCTATATATTATGTGAGAAATCTTTAAAGAATTCTGATAAAGAAAGAGATCTAGGAGTGGTTCTAGATAGAAAACTATCACCTGAGGACCACATAAAGAATATTGTGCAAGGAGCCTATGCTATGCTTTCTAACTTCAGAATTGCATTTAAATACATGGATGGCGATATACTAAAGAAATTGTTCATGACTTTTGTTAGGCCAAAGCTAGAATATGCAGCTGTTGTGTGGTGCCCATATCTTAAGAAGCACATCAACAAACTGGAAAAGGTGCAAAGACATGCTACTAAGTGGCTCCCAGAACTGAAGGGCAAGAGCTACGAGGAGAGGTTAGAAGCATTAAATATGCCAAAACTAGAAGACAGAAGAAAAAGAGGTGATATGATCACTACATACAAAATAGTTACAGGAATTGATAAAATCGACAGGGAAGACTTCCTGAGACCTGGAATTTCAAGAACAAGAGGTCATAGATTTAAACTAGCTAAACACAGATGCCGAAGAAATATAAGAAAATTCACCTTCGCAAATAGAGTGGTAGATGGTTGGAACAAGTTAAGTGAGAAGGTGGTGGAGGCCAAGACCGTCAGTAGTTTCAAAGCATTATATGACAAAGAGTGCTGGGAAGACGGGACACCACGAGCGTAGCTCTCATCCTGTAACTACACTTAGGTAATTACACTTAGGTAATTACACACACACACACATGCTTTTCAGTCAGTACCTGTATCTTTCACATGTCCTCTTCTGACTTTTATTGTGCTTCCTGCTGTTAATTTTGAAATTGTTTGTTATGTGCAGTTTACTCTATAAATTTATAAGTCTACAGTCTTTATTAATTTGTCAGTTACTTTTTCTTGAATTTCCTCCCCCTCTGCCCAACTCATTTTTGTGTGCACCTGCTGTTGCTTCATTCGTCCACTGTGTGTACAATATGTTGGACTCATTGTGGATCCAACTGCGCACCACCTGTTTCCTTACCTGAGACTAGTGGTCTGTGGTTTGTAGTTTATCAGCAAACCATTATTGAGAGTGCTGTGGTGCAACATGCAACTGTTTCACCGATCCAGCCTGGTGATTTTGTATTGCACAGTGTCATTAAAGGTAGTCTCCCCTCCAACACCATCCTATTTTGCAGTTAATTAATTACAAATATCCTGCCATCATGGCTTCACTAAATGCAGGTAACATGTCCACTGGCTTGAACTAATAACCAAGCTAAGAGAGAGAACGTGTCACAATTATCTTTGATTAGAAATTGCAACTTATAAAAGAAGTTGAATCTTTGTCTTAATAAATGTCTTAAGTACTAAATACTGTGTGAGTAAGCCATTCTTTATTTGTACTGTACTTTGAAGGCTAAAGATTTTTTATGATAAAAGTTAGTGTGATGTGAGAAGGCATAAAAGAAAATTACTTGGTCATGCTTGAGTTCAAAGAGTTGTTGTTGTTGCTTTTTGAGAGTGAAAAACACCTCACTTAAATTGTTCTGTCATACAACTCTGCAAAAGAGAATGTTCCTATATTTTTCAGCACTATTGTTTCCTTAACTTGAATCTATGGCCTCCTGTTCTTGACATTGCTGGCTTAGAAAATTCCAATATCCATCTCTGTCAATTCTTGTCACTATTTGTATTTGTTGCTTATATTGCCTCTTCTATCTTCTGTGTATGTGTGTGTGCATGTTTGCATTTGTCATGCAAGTCATCCATGCATGGATGTTTGGTATGCGTGAGCAAGCATGCACCACATACAAAGTTGTAACAGGAGCCAACATGAAAAGGAGGAATTTTTTAAATCTAGAACAAGAGACCATAGAATCAGTTTAGAAAACAAATGTGCAGAAAAAATGTATGATGGTTCTCTTTTGCAGAGGGACTTGTAGACAAATGGAATAAATTTATTAAGAGGGAAAGTGGATACCAAAATGATCAGAGGCTTCAAAAGGTTGTGTGACAGATTATAGGGAAGATGGTATGCCATGAGTATAGCTCTCATCGACTTGAGAATGGTCCAGGATGGACCGAAACGTCGTCGTCCCTTCACCTTCTAGTGTGTGGTCTGGTCAACTTATTGCTCGGTAATTGCACACACTGATATACAGATGCAGAGAGAGAGAGAGAGAGAGAGATTTAATAAAAGTCTGATAGTGTTTGTGCTTTCAAACATATCATCAGAAACTTACTGTGAAATATTAAATATAGTAGGCATTCAATATTTAGAAGACAAATTAGGAGAGGGGAAGGGTGTTGTCTGTTAGGTGTGACATGATTCCAGTAACAGGTGAGTTATTGCTAAATTAAAATGTAGAAGAATATAAGAACACATTTACTGTATTATGAACCTGGAATATTTGATGTGTCAGAGAACAAATTTTCTACATTTTAATTTGGCATCAGATCACCTGTTATTGTAGTCTAGTGAGGATGTACAGAAACGACTCATAAACCTGAGCTGAAACTATGCAGTGGGACTGGACAGTGTAATCTTGGGCACTATGAGAATGGGGATCTAAGTTCAGCTATTTACTGTCCTTTTCCAGGCATTCATTAATGCAGGCAAATTGACAATCATTTTATTTAAAAATGGAGCAATAAATACAATTACAGTAAATGTTATTTTCTAGCAGGGCCTCAACACCCCAGTGCTTATTTGTGGCTCTACTAAGCCTAAGAAGTGTACTTGTCCCCTGAGCCCCCACACTGACCACCACTACTTATGTGAGGTGAGGGGAGCTTGGGAGTCTCAGACATTCCTAAAACTTAGGAAAACTGACGAGAAAGTTGAATGAAACAAAACATACCACTACTTAAATGAAAGAAATTAAGATAAAAACAAGTCATGTTCATCAGATCTGCTAAGTGTCTATAGAAGACCGTGCAGTAAAACTTAAAAGGGATGGATGTGCGTCTGGAATATTTCTCTACTTGGGTAAAAGCTTTGGATGGTTCTACACCAAAGATTGCTTTATAATCTTTAACATTTAGGAGTCATGCAAGGGAGGCTACTTGAGTGGGTGAGGGGCTTTTTACTTGATAGAAAAATTAGGGTAAAAGAGGAGGGCTATTAGACAGGAGGAAAGTAAGTACCCAGTGGGCACAATATCCAAGAGCAGTGGCAATTCAATGCTAAATCAATGTCATCAAAGTTGAATTAACATTGATTCAACATCGAACCAATGCCATACTTGGATATTGTGCCCACCAGATTGTGGTATGCTACACGCATCGGTACTAGTGATAATAATATGTATAATTTATATCAAAGACCTGCCAAAGGGAATATTGTGTTATGTGAATGTGTGGAAGCTCCCCATTCCCAATTTTATTTCCTGCCTTAAATGGCATTTATTCAGTGTGACAGTGAGAAAGATGACCTTTTCCTAGCCTTGATTCTGTACTGGAATGTACAGAATCTTTTTTGTCATCTTGGTGTAAATCTTGAATCTTGGTATAAATTTTACACCAAGAGCAAGAGCAACAGGTGTCTGGTGGCAGCTAAGGTAAATAGTATGGTGTGATTCTTTTGTTTTCTGTAGATTCTGAGCAAATCTTAGTGATTTTCAAGTCTCTAAAGACTGGATTGTGAGACATTCTCTCCACTTAGCTCCCTGTCACATTTGTAGTTCGGACAAGATAGACTGCAAGGGTACTTGACTACCTGGGGCTGAAGTTACTTAAAAGCCTCGTAGTGTTTCTGTCCAAGTGAGTCCAGTGCATAAGACTAAGAGGTAACTACTTGGGTAAGGCTCAGAAAGAGGCATTTCATTTCACTCAACTCTATATTTTTTGCACTCTTCACACCTCTCACTTACCTGTAATTTCTGATACAATATTTTAATGGAGGATCACCTCTGATGCACACTGAATGCTTCTACCTTGGTTCTCTTGCTTTATGGTTATAAGAACCATTCAGCAGGCATTTTCACAAGTGTTCCTCATAATGTTGGTGATGCAGATGCTCTGTTAAGTTAAATAATGAAAGGGATTAGTTTATGATAACTTCAATAATTACAACTTAATGGTGTAACTTTTGCTTTTGTTTTTTGGATATTTCAGCTTATAATTCATCATTATTTGGCTTGGACCTTCTCTTAACGAACACTAGTATTGGTAAAGGAGCAACTAACGCGTTGCTCGCAAGTGAGTAATTCTTTTGCCTGAGAACCCAAGATGTCCCTGCATGATGTCCATGTTTAATTGATTAGGTGGCTTATTGGTTATTTTCATTATTAAGCATTTTATTTTGCATGGGATGTTAATTTTTGTTCTTTGCATTGTAGCATGGATAAATGTATTCAAATTTGCTTGAAATGTGCATATTGTCCTTGTACTGCATCTGTCTCGTGCTTTATGTGGAAATCAAACATAAAAATATTTATAACAGTTGTTTCCAGAGTTAAAAGCAGATTATGGTTTTAATACATACTGGTATATAACATAATTTTCAGAGAATATTTTGATTGTATCTGATTTCTTTATAATTTTCTTAACCCTTCAGCTGCATGTGTCAAATAGGGTCCCTGTCAAACATTGAGAATTGCGGCATAACTGACCCCCACTGTGCGAGTCAAACAGTGACAATTGCTGCATATCTGACTACACTGTGCGAATCAGTGACGATTGCGGCATATCTGACTACACTGTGCGAGTCAAACAGGGATGATTTAGAATATCGCATAAGATGTCCTGCACATACACAGGGCTCACATTTACTTCTTCAGGCCTCTAGTAATCTTGGAAAAAAATTGTGGGCATCCCTCCTGGGTGTGATGGGCCTCATTATTGAGAGAGGTGACCATGGGTATATTGTCAAATTGTCAAACTGCTGCAGACAAACAATTGTTTGACAAACAATTGTCAAACTGCTGCAGCTCATGCTGCTGCAGTTTACAGCACTGCCATGCAGCTTGAGCCCACAGCATCAATTAATATGGACAAAATAAATAACTGCGAATATTTTGAGTTGGTGTCATAGACGATCCCAATTGTGATAAAGCCTATGTACAAGGGGTCAGATATCAGTGAACACAATGCTGGGTATGTTTACAGCTGGAGGCAGACATTCTCAGCACACAGCTGCAGTTTTTGTGCATCTACACATCATGAAATGTGACCTCATGTTCCTTTAGAAAATAAAAGTGTGAAAATGATTCATATTCATGATTTAGTGACAGGAATCAGATGATAATAGCAGTACTGCATAGTAATACTTATTGTTGCATCAGGTGTCATTGCCTGCTGGTGACGTCTGCTATAGTCGGTCTCTATTCTGTGCTTGGAGTTCATTTCACACCCACCAGAACTACTTAGTGGTTTGTTATGGTGTATACAAATGTAGATAATTATATATGATGTGTATATAGTGTAATAACAGCAAAAACTGTGTGTTTTATTGTTCTCAGCATTTAATATTGTAGGAATATTAGTGACATACTGTATATTTCAACAGTCTGATGTTCCATATATTTTACTATATAAATTTCTCAAATGACATATTATTGAGTAATAATACTAGAAAACCAGAGAAAAACAAATCAAAGACACTGAAATAAGTATCTAAAAATATCTTCATGGCAACTTTTGCACCATGGCAGAACTGAACAGACTGCCTTGGGGTGAATGCTGACTGAACGTTTGTGAATCGGCTGACTTTTGGGTTTTACGATGGCCAGAGTAAGCCACTTATAATTTTATTATTTAGTCTATGATCAGGGAATGCATTTACAATTTTAGAAGTTTTTTTCCCCCCCCCCATCTAGTGCAATGGGGGATGTCGGTTAAAAACAGTAACACATCACAGGGGTTAATGTACGTCTTTTAGGCTAGTTATAAGCTTATGGATTTGCTTTGGTTCATTTTGTGAACTACTGCCAGAATGCTTGGGAATATAAACAGGAGATATGCTACTTTATATCTCCTGATGACTTAAGTATTGGAATGGGCTCTTGCTTAGCATTCCCATTTTATTAGAAATGGCAAAACATTATTGGATGTTTTGATGCTGCTTGATGCTGTTTGCAAGATTACCTAAAAAAAAAAAATGATTCCAAAAGCTATATTTTCTGCCTCCTAACGGTTTTCCTGTTGGGTTGTTCTTAGTCTTGGGTGTGTGTAGTCAGTTGTGTTTAGGTGTTGACCTTGTTCTAGTCTCCATTTCACCATGACTTGTGCTGCTATATTCAGTTTTCTGATAAGTGTGTAGCAATATTAGTGGTGGAAGTTTCTGCTCTGAGCTTTTGAGATGGTATTTCAGGACCCCCTTCTAATTAGAGGAGGAAATGGCACTTCTGGTCCAATCGATTTGATAGGCTTTGAGTCTAGATCATTTAGGCTCTGCTTCATCTTCATCTGTGGACACTGTCGGTTTTTGTTTCCACTACTGGGCAAGTTACGTCCTTTTCCACTCTTTGGGCATTGAGAAGACTAAATTTTGTCTTGTGTTGGTGATTGGTGTAGTGGTATTGTTTATAGTAGTAAATGTTTGCATAGTAGTTTGTTTATTTCTCTTTCCAACATTTTCTATGTTGGCAATGTTAGGGCATGCATTTGATTTTCCATTGTCGGGGACAAGTAGCCTGGTAGGCTTATCCATGTTCCCCTAGACCAACTACTGACCTTTTCCAGGATGCAACCCACAACAGTTCCCCAACTCCTGGGTAATTATTTACTGCTAAGGAAACAAAGGTATCAGGTGAAAGGAAAAAAGCTCAAATGTTTGTCTCCTGCTGCGGGAATCAAACCCAGAATTGGTTGTGTGCTGACTGTCCTGACTAATGTGATGTGTATAAATGCTGATTTATACCACCAGTGTCAAAACAGCTGCCACTGCCACCACTAGGTTTGCAGTGTAAGAGCTGATCAACAGTCAAACATGAGTATTATGTCGTGTTGTATAGTTGTTTCTTATGATGCTTATAATCAGTGCCTCAGGTGTAATCTAGGATTCCCATTCATGGCTAGATTGAAGCCTTACAGTGACACATTTTAGCTACCGAATCTGCTAGTAATTGTGTTGACAGCTCCCTTTGTGATAGAATGGCAAGTATGTAATCTAATCGTGCCCACCCTCTGTGTGAGGCAGTGCTCGCTTCAATGTTTAACAATAGTGGAGCATTTGACTGCTTCAACTGAGTAAGTACTCCCATTTATTAGCTAATTGATGTTTTAGCATAACCTAGAAATACTGTGTATATTCTTTTCAGTTGTAGCAGAGATTTCAGATAATATCTGTATCTTTGCATGTTATTTTATCATTATTATTATGACACCTGTCCAAAAGTAGATCTACTGTGTCACCCATAATGATTAAATTGCATTGAGCAAGAAGGCAATAATTGTCAATGGAAAAGTGAGCTATTTACATTGTATACTGTATATGTAAGTATTTAAACAACTGGGTTTAACTTTATTCAACTCTTGTTATTATGTAGTAAAGTAGCTTGTTTAATAAAGTAGGATAAGGCATCAATTTATTGTCTGCCCATTGTCCACATGTGTGATCGCAGTTGCTAAAAGTGTATTTGTTGCACGATCTACTATTTTCCCATTAGCCTGCATTAATAAATTTAGTATAGCACGAAACTGCACACTTCAGCCATTCCCTCCTTCAGAGGTAACAGCTTAAGCAAGACTGAAGGGTACCAAATAAATGTAACTTTTATAGCTGTGTGTTCTAGACCCCATCAGGTACAATGTTTCAGCTAAGGCCTAAGGCTTGTATGTGTGAAATGAGGCATCATTAGCAGAAGTAATCTGACCTAGGAGTTGCCATATCTAGAGTCATTATGACATCTAGCAGACAGAACTGAAAGTTTAACCACCGTTATACTTGCCTTAGGGAAGAAAAACGGAAAATCAGGTTTTGAGTGTACGTATACGAAAAAGACTTGAGTGAGCAGCACACACTCGGTTGCTCTCATTCTCGTCCATTCATTCCATGTTTAGATATGACTTGATAATGGTCGTATTCATTACTTCGTATGATTCCTATTGAACACTGATTGCCACTTGTGCTCTGTTTTGCCTGCTCCTCTGATGGGTACTGTTTCCACTCAATTCTCTCCTGGTACATAACTGTGGCATCTTCCTTTGCATTGTTTCTGCCATGTCCCGGTGAAGGGTCCAACTTGGAAACTTTTACAAAGTCCTGACCCACAATGTGAAGGCTTGTACCCCTTGTACATTTGTTCTGTCATTCTCACAGTTGCTCTGTTCACTGATGGGTCAAACTCTGCTGATGGCGTTAGCTTCTCCATTGTTTCTCTTGACCAAATATGTATGTGCCACCTGTCTCTGGAGACTAGCATCTTTACAATAAAGCTTTATGCAATTGTATATGCTCTCTGCTAGCTAATTTTTGTGTCAATATTCCCTTGATTTTGTGGTTGACTCGCTGTGGTCTTATGACTCTGGAGTCTTTTTAACCTTTCACATCCTGTGGTTGAAATCCAATACTGTACTGGCTGTTTCTGTCTTTAGCAGATTTAACACACTTGAATGTTCCTTTGTACCCAGCCGTATTGGTGTTACAGTATCTTGAATGAACTTGTGATGCCACTGCTAAGGAAGCCATATATGCCTGCCATATTTTCCATAAAGGGGTTCCTTATTTGTACTTCAACAAATCAATTTAGGTGGATGAACTCTGAACATATAAGTACCAGGTATATAATAAATATAAAATATTTGAAATATTTTACAAAATATTTAATGCAACAACAGTAGCAAATTTTGAGCTACTCGTGAGTGCATAATTTTTATGTATCTATTTTAAAACTTCAAGGTAAAGGTGTGTAATTCATGCAAATGGCACTTCACACCATTAGCAAGTGTTTGAATCTTCTTTATACAGCATAATAATGTTTGTTTTTAGCTGAGAAGTGGTGGGAATACTTGGTATAAATGTTGAGGGAGGTATGTTGTTGAGAAAGAGATGGGCAAAATTTACCTTTGGAAGTCTTCAACTCATCCCATTGTCCCCATATGACCATAAGTTTGGTATTAGTGAAATTCTTTACTTGCTACACTTTGCAAAAATGCAACCCTCTTCATAAATATTGTGGGATGTGGTATATTACTGAAGATGGTAGATGTACTGTGTGCTTTTTGTGTACAGAATTTGGTTTGCACTACTGTATATTGCTATTAGATCAAGTAACTAAGGGGTAACATTAGCATCTGATTATGTACATAACATTAAATATGGAGAGTTGAAGATAAATATTTGCTTGCAGTATGTAGTAGAATGTATACCTACTGAAACTTTTTTGCTTTCATCTAACAGGTCTAGAGCGAGAATTTCTGAGTGAAGGAGGGGAAAAAGGGTCTAATATCCGTATCAAGAGTCCCCCAACACCATCACCTTTAGTGCAGCAGATTTTAGGAAGTGGACTGACAAAAGACTGTGTGACAAACACCCCGCTTCAATCACTTGTCCCAGAGGTACGGCAAGTGGTAGAACACTTGCCCGACTTGGGCTTCATGCGAAGTAAAGTTCTCATGTTTCCAATAAGAGGAGAGCAGTAAGAAGTGGCCTAAAATGTTTAAAACAGTTGAGTTAAAAAGACTACAGCAGATGTGATGGGTCATCATTTTTAATTTGTATCATATTAGGTGTAACCGCATTAATGAAGCAAAATTATATTTTTTTTAGTTTTGCTTTATTATATTTATATTCAGATGCATACATTATATACTGTACATTTTTAGCAGCTGTGTTTTTACACTAGATTCATCAGCATGTATTTAATAACAAATATACAGTAACTTGCAGCATTGTTGACAAATGCCTCCTGTAATTAGTCTTTTAGCAACATGTTATTTATTAGTGTTTGAATTGTTAAATTTAACAGGAAAGATACAAGATTTTTTTCATTTGATATTTTAAAGTTGGTAATTTTGTACATGTTAATACAGATATTTCAAATAGATTTTACTTTTTAAAGAGCATTAAGTCTACAAGCTGAGATACCTTTCAACATTAGGGTGGTGACCATATAAAACATTTCATATTTTAGGTTTAAGTGTCACCTATATAAAGTTCAGCAAATTATATTTGTTATTGGGACTAGTCAATTGAGGTATGAATTGGTTAGGTTGTGTATGCTTTCAGAGCCATAAGAGTGCAATTTCCCAATTGTGTTCAATAATCAATATCTTTAAACTAAAATAAAATTGATTGGCTAACTTTCAAGTGAAAGATACTGTATTTGGTTTTATTATAAATCTTAGTCTTCTGCTTAAATTTCTATTTAAATATATCCTGCTGAACAGATAATAAGTTAAGCCTTTGCCCCTAAAGCTTTATATACAGAATCATTATTTGTGCATTCATTACTGTATTTTGTTAAGTTCCCAAATAATTTATTTACATAAATGAAATGTAATATATTTATAAAAAGTTAGTTATCAAATACACAGTAAAAGAGTAACAAATTTCCCTGTGCATTTGTCACTTATAAATTTTTGTAAATTTCCTCACACCAACATGGAAAAACTTGAAAACGAATTGTTCAGTTCATTATAAGGGATGGACTGCAACATGTAGTCAGGTGTATGTATATACAGTAAGTCAATCAATATTTTCAAGACACCATATATATATATACATACATATACAGTATATATTATTTAGTAATTACATTTTTGTAAAGTATATCAATTTCCATTTACATGGATCATCAGATTCTAACTTGCACCTGAAACATAAGAGACCATTTTAAAGTAGAGTACTTTTAAAGTACAGTACAATATTTAAATTTTTCATGCAGCCCTTGCATGGAAGGTCTACTGTAGGGTGCAAAGAGCCACTTTTTGTCTCATAAATTTCCTTTCTTTAGCTATAATCATACCTCTTCATTTCACGTGCAGTATAACTAATTTCCTATGTTTTTCTTTCTTTCTGCTTTTTCCATTTGTTTATGCTTGAGGTAATCTTCATTACTTCTATATACAGTATTGTTGTGTCTCTGAGCCAGTGTATAATTGCTTCTCACGTATAAAGGTGTGATAGTCATGTCAGTGTGCTAACTCCTAATAAACATTTCAAGGGCTTCTGACATGTTGCATAAACATTTCCAGCCAATCAAGATGTTTGGGTAAGATTCTTAGGCTATCTGTTATATATATTTAAAACTTCGTTACACAAAGTGGGTTACAACATGTTACATGCAAGGTATGAAGTTAGTTGTCACAGGTTGTTGAGTTCTTCCAGCTCCTCAGATGGCAGGCAGGAATGATGGATGCAGTGTGCGTTTCCCCTCTCTATCGCCACACTAAGGTGCTGAAAGAGGAAGCTGGCAGCTCTAGGGTCTCTTATTGTTTCAATTAGCTTAGAACCCAGCTCCTTCAAAAAAAATGTGGCTATGTATATATATATACACATCCATATGTAATTACCTAATTGTAATTACAGGATGAGAGCTAAGCTCGTGGTGTTCCAGGAGTATGTGCATGTGTGTGAACTAAACACCAAAGTGTAGATAGTGTACTTTATTCTCGCCAACAATAACAAAGTTCATAATTTGGTGGTATAGCTCACAAACCCAAAACGTTTTCTGTTCAAGCCATGTGCAAGGTTGGATGTCTGTACACCATTTCTTTACTGCCTTTTCCTGTGAACACAGCAGCAATTGGGTACTTGTATGTAATATTGAAATGTGTTTTGGTAGACGATAACATTGAATAACCTAACCAGTTCCAGTAGCCTACGGCCTAACATACCCCTCACCTCCCTGCAAAAAACAAATAGAGTGCCTTGTCAGTCTTGATTTGGGTTTCAACACACACTGCATTTAAGATCCCTAATTAGGCATCTCATTCTGGCACGTTTTTATTGCTTTCATGATACCATATTACTCTCAAAATGAAGTTACAATATCATCAAAATTGTCACCCTGGCTGGCTGTGCATAATTTTTTTTTCCTGAGGCTTAAGAGAATTTGTTTAAAATATCCTTTCTGCAGATTATCTCCATAATGTGTGACTGAAGATAGTAATTATATGCTGACACAGTATTTAGTGTTGTAAGTCCACTGATATATACATTGTCGAGTTGTAAGGCTAATGCGAACCTTGCCCTTTATAAATATCAAATACAGTTTTTGATGAAGATAGCCACTGCTTAGAATAAACTATTTTTTAATGTAAATGAAAACTAAACCTATTAAAAGTATGAATCAGTTAGACCATTAACACTTTCGCTCGGGGATGACGCAGCATTGCGTCATCCGTTTACTGGCGGTAATGCCTGGGATGACGCAGCATTGCGTCATCCACTTTAAAAATTCGCCAAAAATCAGGTTTGTATCCGATTTTTTGGGGACTGGTTTTAAAATGTGCGCCGATGTCTTCCCATTTCCTTTGTTGAGCCTCGTGGCCCTCAGGCGGCTTGGCACACGCCGTGGGCCCATTGTCTTTGCTCCACTGTTGTGACCAATGTCGTCTCCCCTCGCATCTCAAACGTGTGAACATTTCGGCTATTTTCCGTGGCTATATTTCTTACTGCGGCTTTAGAAACTATCTACGCTTACTCCACGATGGATAGTAATCATGAACAAGGCCCTTCCAGGAAGAAAATTGCGAAAAAAAGGCTTGAAAAGGGTGGGAATTGGGAGTGTAGTAGGAAGGCCTCTGAGCGCTCACTCACGGCTAACGCGTGGCCCGTCTTCAACTCGTCGGCGGTTGGAGCGTGACCAGGTGTTTTTTTTTAAATGGCAATAATTATGGCACATTTTATCATTTGTACTAATTTAGGTAAACTAAGTTTTCCTGCAAACCAAATTATATTTTAGGACTAAGCATGTTGAATGTCATAATGGTTACTTATTTATCATTATTTGCAACATGTGTATAATATTGTTAGTGTATAGAAGTTTTTGCATGAATGCTATTCTGAGTTTTTACTTGACTGAGATTACATATTAAAACATGAAAAACATAGCCTAGTAATGTATGTTACGTGATAGTCATAGGTATTAAGATAAGTCGATTACTGCACAAACCATAGCTGCTCTTGGAGAATTTTCAGATATTACACTATATAATTTTAAATAGGATTTGGCTTGGGATTACGTTATATGAATGTGGTTAGGGAATAGTTTTGTATGCATGTACATACCAGTATACAAGTCTTGCTTTATCCTATTTAAAATCCTTGAGCTATGAATAATACTTACAGGTATTTAAATTAAATGAATTGAGTTGCATCTTGGTTTTGGTCAAAGTACATAAAAGTGCATATTGACATGTTTAGGGCTAATTAATGATATATGGGTATATTTTCATGCTCAGCTGCTAATTACCTCAGTGAAAAATGACATTTGTGAAGGAACGGCTATACATTTCCATTGTAATGATTTGGTGCAAGACTAAGATTCATTATACATCTATAGTGTCTCAAATCCCGACATACTGTAGTTCAAATGTAAGGTACCAGGTACTGTATTTCATTTCTTGCAACCCAGCTGTTATTGTTAAGCATTCAGAATGTGTTTTTTAAAGGTGGATATAGTTCGGTGTTGATGTATATCAGTCACTGCTTGATGAATCATTAACACTTTTTCATTAAGTAGCTTCTGCTGTTGAAATAATATTTATTATTTAAAGTCTTGAAGGACTTTACACTTCACTTCGAATGCATTTTGTAAGAGCAATACCTTGAAGGTTTCATAATACCACACATGATATGAAATTGATATTTGCCTTATTTTGTTTGGTTTCTTTGTATATTATTGAGCTGTTTATACAAGATATTTCAATAGTTTACCTTTAAAAATGTGTTATCTTGTAGGCATTTGATCTGCCTTCCATTATCTTGACAAAGGTACAAAGACATGCCACCAAGTGGCTCCCAGAACTGAAGGACAAGAGGTACGAGGAGAGGTTAGAGGCATTAAATATGCAAAAACTAGAAGATAGAAGAAACAGAGGCGATATGATCACTACGTACAAAATAGTAACAGGAATCGATAAAATTGATAGGAATTCCAGAGACCTGGAACTTCAAGAACAAGAGGTCATAGATTTAAATTAACAAAACAAAGCTGCCGGAGAAATATAAGAAAATTCTCTTTTGTAAACAGAGTGGTAGACAGTTGGAACAAGTTAGGTGAGAAGGTGGTGGAAGCCAAAACCGTCAGTAGCTTCAAAGCGTTATTTGACAGAGTGCTAAGTAGACGGGACACCACGAGCGTAGCTCTCCTCCTGTAACCACACTTAGGTAATTGATAATTACAATCTTTTTTTTTTTTTTTTTTACTCTGCATTGTCTAAATAATATTAATTAAGAAAAGAAGCAGGGGCTTTGATCAGTCTTCACTGCAAACCTCTAAATATTGAACATACTTATGTTGGATGCAGTGTTGCATTGGTTTTAATACTGTACAACAGTAACAATACAAGTCTTTTTTTAGCTATAATTTTACATAGAAATGAGGGGGGAGGAAGAATGAAATAAGGTATCATTTCCAGAATTTTTGAAGAATTACATCGTAACGTATGGCTAGGAATAAATTTGGTGGAAAATGTGGATTCAACTTCAGCAGTTTTGATGTAACAGCCTCTGAAATTGCAGAGATTAAAGTTCACTTGAAAGCTTAGAGGGCAGGAGTTCAGCTACACAAGATGACGAGAAAAATCGAGCCCCCATGAGGAAAATCTGTCTGTGGAGGGACTTGGTAGAGCCGAGAAAAGAAAGAATGAGGCAACTTCAGAAGTACAAATGATGAGCAAAAAGGGATTGCAACATAGAGATATTCAAGTTATAGGTGCAGTTTTCAAATTAGGAATACTTTACTATGGAGAAGCTCCTTACTATAAAATCTACCTCGAGAAGCAAAGGCTAGCAAGGTAGATGAGCATTATTTTTTTTTTTTTTTTTTTTAAGTATCGCATCACCTGCAGCCACATCAACACCTGTGGTCAGCCAACATCTCAGTTGCCTTGCCAATACCTGTGGTTGCCACAAAGTCAGTCAGTCAATCTCCAGCAAGCTTGTTGATTGAAAGCCCAAAACCATCTTCACCCCTGAACATAACACTTCCCCAGTCACTCCAATGGCCAGTCAGTGGAAAAGTCAGATCCTGATGTTGACCAGACCACACACTAGAAGTTGAAGGGACGACGTTTCGGTCCTAATGACTTCCTTCAATTCCAAATAAGGTCCATCATTAGACACATTCCCTCTCTTCAACTCAAGCAAGAATGATTTTTACAAAAAATGGTGAGTAAAAAAATTAATTTATGAATTTTCTACTTTTGTATGTGCTGTGGAAGAACAGACTGACGAATTATCACAGTTCACATTAATTCCAAGGTTCAGTGTGTTCTCGATAAGAATGTCAGGCTCTAACTTAACCAATATTTGTGTGTTATATTTTGCATCATTGCACACTAGAAGAAGCATTCTGGACTTAATTATATGCTAAATTTATGGCTAGAAAGTGGAGGGAGTCATAAATATTAATTTTAAAATAGTTGTTGAGTAAAGAGTGAGAAGTGAACTTTTAGCAAGTCTCTTGAACCTATTTCTATATTTCTCATACATTGTAGTAACTGTACCTTACCGTGCATTGGATCTGAAGATCAACAGCCCGTTGCCTGCACTGCTTCTTCATCGATTTTGACGTTTTCTATTTTCTGAAGTTAGACTTGCATTTGCTAACCCTATTTTCCTCCTTTGTTTTATAACATTTTCAACCACAGCACCTCGGTTCCATTTGGTAATTTATCTACATTGATTAGTTCTATCCTGCAAGCTCGATTGCCCATACAGTAATTACCCGAGGTTCAGCAATATCAATCTCTCATGTTTTCCTCGTTTTTTTAAACCTTTTATGATTAAACTGGTCGATGCATTGACATTTAAATTGAACCTTTACTAACTTATCAAGAGATAAGAGTTTGCTGTGCTCATTAATCAAACCACACTGAATTTTCCTCTTTTGATTACTTTCTGTCGCAACCATTGCCAAAGGTAATGGTCATGGCATAACGATGCAAAAGACTTGGCAGAATGCTTGTTTTAATAAAAAAAATTCACATGCCTGTTAATATCATGAGCTGGATTTCATTTATTAGGCTCTGTCCTTGGCTCAAAATTGTTGGTTTTGTACAGTAACAGTAAGATTAGTAGTTTTTGCATCAACATATTAATGACGGTTCACAATAAGAAAGTACTTATGCTTGTACACATGAACTATGGGAACACAGGCTATCAATGCCATTTGAGGTGATGCTTCTAGCAGCATTACCTCGAATGACCTTTGTATTTAGAGTTCTCAGATAATGTGAAGTAGTCCACAGCCCCCCCATCTCCCGTTTCTGGGATAAAACAGTACATCTACTTTTCTTTTCGTCAATCTCAATCTTTTCACATCTAGGTTTGCCGGATAGCGGTACTTGCTTTTGATTTGGTACAGGGTGCAAAGAATGGTTAATGGAAAAATCTAAACCATAGTACAGTGCTTTTGAGACATGTGTCTTTGTTGGCTCCAACATCTTCCAAAGTTGAGTTTACCTCTTCCAATTTTTGGATACAAAGCAGAAATATCCAGTAGTGAGCACTAAATTCATCTTTAAGCTCATTACAGAGATTGTCCTTTGTAAATCTCTTCTGTAAAACAGGTCCACAATCTCCTTGTGTCCTGTTCCTGGGATTAAGTACCAGCCATAGATAATCATAATTGGGAGACCGATCATCATTAGCAGCATGTAAATACAGGTGGTCAATAATATCTGGTTGGTATCTTTTGGGATTATATCTAACCCCAACCACCTGACCACGGCCATGTTAGTGCCACCAGGGGTACTACATGGGTAGAGCTCTAAGTCAGGGCCAAACAGAACATAAGTGTTCTCTGGCACTTTAGTAAGTGCCAATGTTGTGTTGTATCCAGAAATGTCAAAGGATGCTGTACTTTATATGCCAGGTAAAACAATGCATCCACATTATTTTCTACCTCGCCCATCCTCTTAGTTTTCAACGAGGAGGTAAGTGGCAGAAAGTTGGTACCAATTTCTCCAACAGGGACCTATGTATTCAAGCTTTACACAGCACTGCCAAATAACAGTACTGTACTCATCTTAATAATACAACATACTATATAATAGTACTACAATATTGAGTACACATATATGAGTACTATAATAATAGTACTCAGATAATACAATGTGCAATTACATTATCAACCAGTACTGAGGTGGCCTATCAGTTGGTGCACACAAAAGTTTGGCAACCAAATAGTTATTAACATCTCATTAAGTATTGTTTGTATAAACATGCTACATTTTTTAAATTTTTCCAGGTAGAAATCTTTTACAATTCATTCATTCCACATGGAACATGCCAACTTTTTTGTATTGTCGAGAATTGGCAACATTACCGTATTAAAGATTTAGATAATTCACCTTTAGATAATTCAACCGTCCTACTACAAAGAACGTCGCTTTTTGCAGATGTGTGTTACTAAGGTAACACATAAGGTAAATTTTCAAGTAAGACAAAAATTGTCTTACTTGAAAATGGAAGCAGCTCACGAAAGTGGCATACTATCCCGTTCTCTGTTTTGGGTCCTCTGGCTTAGTCTGGTAGGTCAGGACAGGTCATTTAAAATTCACTATTTTCTTGATGTGAAACCCTAGGAGGATGGGCTGGCCAATTACCTATAAATTGTAGTTACTTTTTTCTTTAACCAGAAAACTTTTGCTTGGCTCATTAAAAATGTTTTCATTTGCAGACCCTAATAAACTTTAGACACTAAATATTTGAATTTTATCCATGTTAAATTAAAAGTATTATTTAATATCTTGACTGAACTGAATTGTCTGGGTGTTCTAGTAAGTTGCAGGTTGGTGTTTTTTCATATGTACATTACCAATTATTGGTAGTATAGTTTCTCAATGTGAAGAACAAAATTAAGCTGCCTATTCTGTGGTTGCTTACTAACATAGTTACTTGGTGTAGGGTAATGGATAAGAATATATAATGTCAAATATTATTTGCAATTTACAGTCGTAGCGCATCTTCTGCGGGTAATTCAGTTGTAGCTGTCATCATTGACTAAGAAAACATTCATCATTCATCAATACTGTACCTGGAAATATAATGCGACTATGCCAGTTGTACTCTTATGGCCTCGAGTAATTTGTTGATCTTCCTCCAAAGCTGTCTCTCTGGCTGTACCTTTAAAGTACACCTTATTGCCAATTGTATCTCTTATTGCCAATATGAAGGCATCCCAAGACCAGGATTGTAAGCATTAATTTCATCCTGGCTGCCTTTTACAGTCATCCCTCTTCTCTCTCGACTGGGGTTCATTTGGCACCTAATTAATGTTGTTGACATCACCTTTTGATATTATGGTAACCATTTCTTTCTCTTCAGCTTGTGATCGAGTGTATCATCCTGGTTTACCTGACATGGCTTTAAGTTTTCTATTATGAAACTTTTTGCCAATGTATACTGTGCTAGGAAACACATCTATCGACCCTCAATGGAAGGGAACTTTTATATAAGGGTCAAGCGGGAACTTTTATAAAAGGGTCAAGCAGAAACTCTTGGGGTTGGTCATCACATGTTTGTCACCTGCAAACAATGCTCCAAGGCTTCTTACCTTACTCAGATTTTTGTTGCGTACTTTATGGGGTGCAGATATACAAATATGCCTCCATTTATTTGCACTCATTCATATTATTGTAGTCTTAACTGGAACTAAACTTAATGACCAGCATATTCCCAGCTTTGCCCTTTACTTTATCATTCAGGCATTTGCCTCTGCTTGGGGGTGGCTTTTATTCATCCCAATTCTAAAGCATATACTGTCTCTGTTCTGTGGTCCAAATCATATGGGGCCCATCCCTGTTTGACTTTTTAATCTTTGCCATCCAAATATTAACTGAAATTTATTCTCTCATTTAGCAGAAATTGCAGCAACCTAAATTTGTATTAATCCTTGATTTTACAACACTGACTCAAATTTATTAGTTACTAATTCAGAATCATTTTTAAACAGAATTCATGTTCGGGTTGAGAGATCAAAATGGGTCATGAGCTCCAACGAGAGTTATTCAGATTTCATTGACACGAATCAGAGTAATCAAAATTACGGAGCTCTTACAGTACTGTATGTGGAAACCCATACTTCATGACCACCGCGATCAGCACTACTTTGATGCATAATAGGGGGCCCCTATTCATGCTTAGACTTTGACTGTTGTTCACATTGAAAACACGGGTCACTTTGCTGTCTTTTCTCTCTACACATCTTCAATGTATCCTGTTGTAATGTGTCATCCTTATCCTAGTAGCAGTTTGTTAAATTTTGCCAAGAGACCGAATAACCATTCGGTCTTTTTAAGAATTAATATAAAAGGTAAAACCTCTTAAGTAAAATGCCAAGGGAATATGGCATAAAATAACCAATATATGTGGTACTAGTGAAGCCAAAATAACACTAGTAAAAGGGAAAAAACAGAATACTAAGATTTGCCCACTATTGTCACATCCTTTAACTTTGCAGTTTAATGGAAAATAATTTTAAGCTAGCTTTATTTTTATCATGCTAATATTCCCCCACAAACTATGGTTCACTGTTATTAAGTGCTTAAGAAATATTTTACATTATCTTATTCTAATTTGTGTTTTGTTGAAGGAGCCTTCCATTTTGTGAAAGTGATTTATGTAAAACTTCTATTATGTAAAATGCATTTTTTGTAGTGTATTCTTGTATCTTTGTAGCATTTTTAAAATGTATATATTTTTTTTCTTACACTTTACAAAGCCTACTATAGCAGTATGTAGACCTCTTGTGTACAGTTATAACTTGGTGGGATTTTAGGTTGAGACCATTGCTCTTTAACAAGATTTCATAAACTTTATCAATAAGACTGTATTTTAGTTATTTAACCAAAGACATCATAAATGTGATTCTAATATTAAATAGGACAACTCTAAAAATGTAGGAGCAGCCAATTAGTTCCTCGTTAAAACATTCCATATTCTTTCACTAAAATGACAAAATCATTTTGGTTTTCACCTGTTAAAACTCTTATGGTTGTGTATTAACATGCTAAATTATTGTTATATATACAGTATAAATTTATATATATAAAAGATAATGAATATTAAAACATTCTTTCAAGAAATTAAAAGTCAATCAATTTTATTTGCCTTGAGTCATTTTCCACTCTGCATTCATTTCAAATTAAAACATGCAATACAAGATTAACTTGCTGCTATTTATGAGTGATTCTTCATAACTTGAGATATTGGTGAATAGTCTTGTTTGTAAGCTAGTTCTTCTATATAATTATTCTCCTGCTGACAACTCTCTTTGCAGGAGTACACCAACACAGTGCCCCAGTCAATACTCTTGCCTGGGTTATCTACTTTTAAGTGCACCAATAATTGTGGCATTACCTGGTAACAGAAAACAGAAGGAAATGTTATTTTTCTATAGCAGTAACATTATGCTTGGCTACTTCTAGAAACACCCCTTCCTAAAAGGAAAAAGGAAAACTTTCTTCAGACATTTAAGACATCTTGATAAGTTTCCTTTTGAAAATAACTAAATTCATGGCTTCAGTCACCAAATTTTGAAAAACAAGAATGCAAGGAGAGATTTAAAACAGGAAAATTTGACAGAACCTTCCTTCTAGTAATGCTTAAGAACAAAAATGGCCAGTAGGTATATCAACTCTTAAGTAAATTCTAAATGCAGATATGATCAGTATTAACCTAATTACTGTATGTGTTTCCCCTTTTGATTTAACCATTAGGCCTCATCTGATTAAAGTTTGAGTGGCTTGTATACTTCGGTTACTTTGCCTATTTTATACAGCAATGCATATTAAAAGTATAGATCTTACATAGATGAGCACAAATAAAACTATTCTCTTGAATGATCAGGTTTCCAGGCTCTGACCACAATAGACAAATGTGAATCTGAAAGTATTTAATGTTAATGAGAAAGTAAAGAAAGTTAAATAAGAAACTTTCTTTAAGAAAGTAAAAATGTTAGCTTTTTTTCTTATAGAAACCAAAATTTTAATTTATAAATTTACTAACCATCTCCCAGTCAACAGAAAATTAATAGAATATACCTAGGATTATAGTGTGTCCTAAGATTTATAGAAATAAATAAATCATACCTGAAACTCAAACTGCCTTGGTTGTCCACAAGAAGGGCAAGGTGGTATATTATCAGGCTTGTTACTTGAAGACACCCACAGAGGTTCGTGGCCACGATCATACCGCACTATCTATAACAATGTAAAAATCAGCTTATGACAAGCACAATACGTAATAAATTATTATTGCAGTAACTGATGGTATAAGGCAGCTGCTTCAAGTTATAATTCAGCCCTATAATTTTCCAAGCTAATTTTCTTTATATTCAATGCACATATACAGTACTTTGGCATCATAGTTTTCAGATCTACTGGCAGCTGTAACATTAAAATACGTGAATCTCAATACCATTACAAAACTAATAAATGCATTTATATTTTTAACAACTAAACCCCACCCCAACTCCAAAACCCTCAGACGTTTGGGAGTGGGGAGCAGGGTGAACAACGCCAACTGGGGAAGGACCTACGGGCACGGGCGAAACCAAAGTCGAAACGACTAATACCCCCAAGTCTGGGTCCCTATACTGTAATCAGAACAGGACAACCAGGGCATCTGAGCAGGCAACCAACCTAGTGCATTACAGCAACATAAATCAGGCATGCAACGCGGATGCTGCCTGAACCCGAACCTTGCACATCCTGCAAGACTCAAAGGTGTCACTGACCCAACAGGCAGCATGACTGATGCAAAACAGGTGACTGTCACCCAGAGGCAAGGGCACAGAACAACCTTAAAACTCCTACAAAGCAAGGTAGAACTCAAGAGGACATATCCATTAGTCAACCAAGACCCGATGTGTTTCCAGGGCCCGTAAGTGTGTCTTCTACGGGAATCCCAGGCAAGTTACTGCTATCCGGTGAAAACCAAAAGCTAACAAAGGGTGATGAGCTATTAACTGGATCCCTTGTGATCTGTACAAGCATGGGGGCCCTAGATGAGGGCCACCAATATACCCTATGTGGACTAATAGCCAAACAAGGCAGACTCCCTCCTGGCAAGAAAATCAAAATAGAAAAATCCTGCAAAAGTACGCCACCACCAGAAGGAACAGGAACATGGCCGCCACATAGGTAAGCGAGCACCGCAGCACCTTACGCCCCCACCCACACCACCACCACTTCCTACCCAAGACCAAACAAAGGCCACAAAACCCCAGCTGGCCCCAAGGGTGGAATAAATGCAGAGCAGCAAGAACCCCTATGGAAATGGAGTCGGAAAGGCTCTATGGAAGATAACCCTAAAACCCAAGGGTAGTACTTACAGGGCACCTAGGGCAGGTAGCCTTAAGCACATGCAGTCCCAGTACACTAAAGTTACTCCTGGCTACTGCACCATGAAGGCATAAAATCTGTCAAGACATTGAGGCCAGAGTTGATGACTGCCCCAGAGCACCTCAACCTAAGAACTGAGGTGAGAGTAGTTGGCACTAGGGGCTTTCCCCCCTCCCGGAGAGGGAAGGGCTACACGGACAAGCGGCAACAGTGTATGACATTTGCTTGTTTCTTTAGGTTTTGGGAAGTTCTGCCTCTCTATCCGGTTGCAATTTCTTGCTAAGTGGAGTCTTATGTTTTGCCTACGTCTCTGGGTGCCTAAACCCCAGTCACTGGCAGACATGAAATGCTCCCAAACACATGGGTGTTTACATAGGCCCTTCTTCCCTGTGCCTCTCTGAAGTGGCCAGGTTCTGGCTCATAGTCCCTGGTAGGCTGAACTCCTTTGCTCCAGATTAATATAGCGCTTATCAGTCCAAGAGCTCCAGGGAGCCAGAGGGGTTCCTCACAGAAGTCACTAAATTTGATGTTTAGTCAAATCTAACTATAACAATAAGTGTCCTCCAGTTTGGCTGGACAATACCAGGTGGCATCAGCATTATAACCAAAGTTAAAGCTTCGAAAGTAAAATACCACTTACTTGATCAGGATAGTCTTTGATACGTGTTCTGAACTTCTGAAATTGCTTATCTGTCTCTTTAGATGCCATATTAATAAGATCATTTTCAGTGTCTGAATCTGAAAGAAAAAGTACTACTCATCAATAGTCTGCCTCGGGAAGAACCAATTTGAAGGTTATAAGCAACAACTTAAAAAATGTACAAATTCATTACAGTATAATTTATGCTATGCAACACAAATGGCAATTGCTTTGCCTGCCAATATTGTTGCTTTTTCACTATTCATCAGAGGCATAGGTGAGATGTAACACATTACCACCTACACAACTTACATGCAGGAAAGAGCTGATGGCGAGAGGGGGTTCAAGTAATGACAATTTCAGGCTGTCACAGAACTGCAACTTGAGCATTTTTGCATGAAAAAAACTACAAATTTATAAAATGGAGAAATTTTATTATGGATATGAAGAAAGGATTATTCATAATGTACATGAACATGAAACTTCCATGTACGTTTAATAGGAGATGCTTCACGTGGCCCAATAGGCTTTCTGCAGTTTCCTTATTTCTTATGTTAAATTAAATAAAAACCAGATTGCTGGAATTTACAATAAGAAATACATGTAATATCTGTAAGTGGTAGGAATAACTAGCAGGGAAGTGGGAAAGATGCAGGCTGGCAGAGGATAAATAAGAAGTGTTGGGTAAAGAAGCAGATTAAGATCATTTTTATGATAGTTTAGCCAATGAAATGTGTGTTTATATAGGACTGCCTGGAGTATTTTTCGGTCACATTCATAGCTTGAAAAAAGAAGTTTCTGAAGAATCAGGGTGCTAGAATTTTAAACATTTGAACAAACCAAATAAATATTAAGGGTTTATTGAGGCAAAAACCTTACCATCATCATCCTGATGTGTTACTTGACCAGATCGCAGCAGCTCCTCGTACTCCTTTGTCACTTCTTCCTCACTTTTTTCTTTTGAAACTTCCAGTTCTTCGGGTTCCAATTCTATCTCAAACTCGGGAAAAAGGAATTTTTCATTTCCCATACATGAAACCTTGCTTACAGTTTCTGTTGGTTAAAGAACATTTGTTATAGTAAGTAATTATCAAAGAAGGCACCAAACATTTGTTATAATTCAAGGGTTCTAATTTTATAAAATATGATATTGTATAAATATGATATCGTTTTTATAAAATATGAAATTAATACTTAGTTTTGTCATTGTTATCTATGACATGCATGCATATATGTATACTGTATATACATACTGTATCTATATTGAAAATACAAGAGTACAGTAATTTATCATGTTTAGTGTGCCAATCCTCGACATGAATAGAGTTTCAGATGATACTGTATATGGAAACTGGGAATGAATTAAAGTACTGTACTTATTTTCTGCTACATGAATAATGATTGTCGTACTGATCCACTGAACACAAATGTCAACCCATCCTCCTAAACTGATAATACAGTGGAACCTCAGTTGACGACTGCCCTAGAGTACGAATTTTTTGGTCGACATCAAATTTGTCGTAAAATCTGAATTGGTGTACGACGGTTTACTTGGAAGACGTCTGTTTGTACACATATGGGTCAAATGAGCGCGTGGTGCTGGGGGCACGGAGCGAGGCATCTCTGTTTACAAGTCTATCCCACGTAGTGACGACTGCAGCTGAGCTTAAATTCTTTGTGAAGAATGTCTTTGTTTGCCTGCTTTTTTGCTTTTTTAACATAAAATTTCTTATTATATATCATGTCATTGATCCCAAAAAAGTCAGTGGTAACGTTCAACCTAAGAAAATAGCTGTGAGGATGACGAGATGAAAAACAAAGAGATAATTCAGTGAGAATGTGATCTAACTACAGACAAGTGTTAAAACATAGGGGAAAAACAAGTGTCTATAGACACGATTCTTGGTAAGACGAACAAGCAGTGAGCCACAACCAGGTCCTAGTGGTATGCCTGCAAAACGTAGGAAAGAGTACTCCAGAAATGTCATCACTGCTGTTATAATGGAAGGGGACTCCCAAACACAAACACCTCTCCTCCTCCTCCTCACTCTCTTCCATACGCTAACAAGTCTTCATTCATGGTAAGATAAACACACACTACTGTATTGTAGCTAGTACAAAATGAGTATTATTTGGTATAAAATTTATTTTTAAGTCAATATTTTTGGTGTGTGGAACGGATTAATTAAATTTACATTATTTCTTATGGGAAAATTCGTTTTAGTTGAGAACGCGTCTCTGGGAACGGATTACAATCGTAAACGAAGATATCACTGCACTTCTAGCAACTATTTTGTTAAAAATACTGAAGTACTCTTGGATCTCAAAGAGAGTTTATGTTTTGTATCATTAATTTCGTAGTGGGCACAAGCCCACCACAAATTAGAGAACTATGAAAAAGATTAAAGATGGACAAAAGGCTCCTCAAGTAGATATAAACTGGAGAAATATTCAGGGTGAGGTGATAGAAGACAATATTAGGCTCTTGAGAATGGAAAGAATGGGGCCAATAAGCAGCACTCGGTTACCTTCATAAATATATTCCGAGTAAAGAAAACTGACAAATTAACCAAAATGATTTTCTAATTACAGTACCTGGATTTTTACATTCCATCCTATGTCCAGCCTTCCAGTCAAGGGCTTGATGATCTTTAGAGCAGTAACGTGCAACCTTACATCCTCCACATGTCTATAAAATTAGTAAAAGCATGAATAAAGATTTACTTTACCACATTCATTACATATGATGCAAATACAGTATAGTACTGTACATATATCACTTTACACTTAACAGAGAACAGGGCTTGGAATGTTTGAATGCTTTTCTTTACTAATCTATTTTTATTGTCCGAGGCTAATTACTGTATGTACAGTACTTTAAAAAAAAAATTGCTCAACTACAAATATATTTTCAATTTCAAAAGCCTTACCTTCGATCCTAATGCACCACATACACGACACAAAGCATTAAAATCACCAGCTCCTGGGCTCTCAGATCCAGGCTCAATGTCCTGAAAAAATTTATGATGACTTCATCTTGAGAAAATGCAAGGCAGACCAATGTGTGAACCATTGACTATTGATGAGAAATCATTGGTTAATTATAACTCCAGCTTGGGAGTTAATAAAAAATACAAAAAACTTTTGAAAACATTTAAAACAATGCTAAAGAATAAAATTCCAGAAGTCTGATGCATAAATATGCAAATATGAACACCATTTGCAGGCTATTGTTGGATGAATACTTTATGTTTCCAAAACTTTCTGAATGCAAGTCGATCCAATCCTCTCGGTAACCTTAAATTTTCTAACTTTGCTTTTTCATCCGATACATAGTAGTCTTCTATTTTATGATCTAATCAGGAGCACTTGTTCAATATTATCCTATCATTAATATATAGCCTATCAATAACCACTTTGCTTTCATAGACAGTTAAATTAGAGGTCCAAATTATTTTAAAAAATTCAATGATTTACTTTTCTGTTCCTGAAGTACAAAATATTTTCCTGCCCCTTAGGCTATACTTAGCACAAGCTATTTCCATCTTATTTGAAATGTCTTCAGTTTCTGTATCATCTGCTAATTTTCAGACTCATTTACATTGAATGTACACATAAGTCATTTACTTCTTCAAAGATATGCTTTCTAAAAGGAATATTTGTATATTTTCCCAAAATACAAAATTCTTATGTAGCATTTACTTGCCTTAGCAGGTTCATCGGGATAGAATTCATTTTCTCTGGGCAGTTGAGAGCGAAACACTCGAATATTTGATGAACTATTTTCTCGGCAGCAGTCTGGATCACGGCATACAAACACAAACACTGTTCTGAAATATTAAAATACAGTATATTTAAAAAATAATGATCCCAGGATCAATTATTTCTTATATATACACTCTCACTCACCACTAAACTGCTTTGAGCCATTCTAGGCTGTATAGGTTGTTTTTGACAAATCTTTAGCCTTCAACCCTTCAACAATGTATCACAATCAGGCATGAATTAAAGTGCTGTGTAATATTTAAAACTCCCATGGATACTTAGGGCTCGAATCCGCTTCTTCAGGCCTCCGGGAAATAGACGCCTTCTTGGAAAGAAATCATGGGCAGCCCTCCTGGGTGTAAGGGCCTCAATACTCAGAGAGCAACCTTGAGCAGCACATGGAGCAGTGCATGCAACAGCAGTGCGTGCGCAGCAGTTCATAGCACCTCCGTGCAGATTGTGCCCACAGCATCATTTAATGATAATAAAATAAACAACCAGTTATTTATCGATGATAGTGACAAAAGACCCCCTGGCTCATTTATACCATAAATATGATGTACACGGTTCATGTATCAGTGAACCCAGTGCTGGTGACAATGTTCACAACATGAGCCAGATAGCCACAGCATACAGCCACAGTACATAAACATGTACAGTAGTTACATGTAATGTGTGATAACAGAAAAAACAGTACTGTATGTTTATTGTTCTAATATTATATTACAGCATGCACATTAGTTGCACTCACTGGCCCTAGTTTATTACTTTTCTCACAGGTGGGTACAGAAACAGATGGAACTGTGAACCTTATTTGCAGATCCTGGATTTGTATTACTGTACTGTATAATACAGTATTTAAAATTCAAAAATCTTATCTTCAAACATATAATCAGCATTTAAATGCAGAGACCACATTCTTTCTAGCCATCAATGAAAACAAGTGCCCAGTTTCTTCCAAATTCCCAAGATATGTAGATGTTTGTTGATTGCTCCCATTCTTGGCTTCACATTTTATGCAAATTATGTGAAATTTTGTGCATCTATACAATTTTAAGGCCTATTCAAATTATGTTAGCTTTTAAAATAAACAGTTACTCATGTGGCAGAGCACATGCAGTAAAAATGCCAGAAGATCTACAGAGTGGCAGCTCTATTATCTTTTACAATAACAAAAGATGAATTTAAATTAAACTATTCTGAGTTTTTTTTTTTTTTTTTTTTTTTTTTTTTTTTTTTTTGAGATATATACAAGAGTTGTTACATTCTTGTACAGCCACTAGTATGCGTAGCGTTTCGGGCAAGTCCTTAATCCTATGGTCCCTGGAATACGATCCCCTGCCGCGAAGAATCGTTTTTTCATCCAAGTACACATTTTACTGTTGCATTAAACAGAGGCTACAGTTAAGGAATTGCGCCCAGTAAATCCTCCCCGGCCAGGATACGAACCCATGACATAGCGCTCGCGGAACGCCAGGCGAGTGTCTTACCACTACACCACGGAGACTGCAATTATATTACCAAATAATATACACATGGAAAATACTGGAAGGCCAGGTCCCTAATCTACACCGTAAAATAACAACGTACTGGAGTGAACGATTTGGAAGAAAATGCAGAATAGAACCAGTGAAGAGCAGAGGTGCCATAGGCACAATCAGAGAACACTGAGCCACTAGTTTTCCTGGAACATAATCTGCCAATTGGTTAATAACCAGGTACCCAATTACTGCTGGGAGAACAGAGGTGAACATTTAAGTATTGACACCCAGAATCTTCCAAGGGCAGGACTCGAACCTAGACAAATCACTTGCAAGGCACAGGAAGTGTGTGATACCAGGGATTGAGTATACTGTGTATTCTGCTGTCTTAATCTAATAGCCGCCATTTATGCTTCTTACTCATGTGCATACGTTCAACTTATAAGACACACCGAAAGTATACTTTTTTTCTCAGTATTGTACATTACAGTGTTTTACTTTATTTGCTGGTACATGATCTGGCCAGCCCCATTTTCCCAAACATGACTTTCAAGATGTTTAATACTGAATACAGGTAATTTAAAACTGAAGAGTATACATTGGGGTTTTCATTGGATAAAAAAAAAATTACTGCTGGACAATATTCTAGGATGTCCATGGCCTCAAGCATATTTCAACAAAGATCTGTCTAATTTTTATAGATTATGTTAAAACTAGTTTTATAGCAAAAAAAATTTAAAGGCAGCCATACCTGTGAAAGCAATTATCTCTGTCATGGAACGGAGCATAAACTTGGCAGAGGAAAACAAGAGGTTTACTACAAATGCGACACGACAGCTCTTCATTTGAAGGAAGGTTTTTTAATGCTAACCATGCTGGATAGCCACCAACCTGAAAGAAAAAACAGTAAAGTATAAAATTTATATAGTATATATTTTTTAAATTGACTAAAACACTGTGTACTAACTACAGTATAATCAAAATATGATTTACAGCTTTGCACAGTGAAAATATCATAACCAATAGGGACAACAATTAAAGTAACAAATCTTTTGGGAGGAGATTTGTCACACTATCATTAGAAGCTGTGTGGAATACCACATAATATCTAACATATCCACACATGGAAATCAGGCACAATCTGATGAGCAGCCTAGAAGCTTAAAACCATGCAATGAGCAGAACCAAATTGGACCCAAAAGCAAAATGCCTACTAACCAGACTTATAATGCCAAGGCTCTGTATCCCTCAGGAGCCTACCAGGGCCCAAGATCAGAACCTGGCTTTCTCCTTGAAGTGAATTTGGGGGTTAGAAATAAACCAAAACGCATTAAAAAAAAAAACCTGAACAGAACTCATCACAGTTTCTTCAATCTTACACACAACGGCTCATTTTGTGATTGTAAGGATAGGATGTGTTAGCTTAGGACGTGCTAGGCTCGACAGGGTTTGCTAGGCTTTAGAATCGGTTGACAAACCCTCTTCTGTAGGATGTGACTACTATCCTTCACAAATAGAAAATATTTTAAGTATTAGAACTGTACGCAAGAAAGTTCAAGTTTACCAAATTGATTTCATGACATTCACCCACATGTTTGTGTGAAATTGACACAAAGCCAACTGTCTAAACAATTATACCTTGCTTGGAAAAAACTTGGATCTTAACCTCCACGCTGGAGTCTTCTCGATGAAGCCCAACTCCACGACTACATTCTCCCGACCCGCTGCCATGCCGCCGCCTAACCTCACGAGTGAACACCTCTACCTTATTTTTATTTTGGTGCCAGAGATACAACTATCATGCGTATGAAGAGAGTTTTCGTACAGTGAACAATTTCAAGTTTCTGCCAACAAAATACAACCATACATATTTTACAAACACAGAAACATACCTAAACTTATACTGTATACACACATGTCTATTTAACCTATAATTTACACTTCGATGATAACTGACAATTGTTTTCAAACCATTTAAACATTTACTTCTATATAAGATATCTAACGTAACTAATAACTATCGAACATCTCCATGATATCGTTCTTTGCCAAGTAGCTATTTAAGTAAATTACTTTTCCTTGAACGAACAGATACTTGAATTACTGTATCCTAATTTTGTATTGCTCAGAATATTTCATGTATAATTAAATAAGCTAAAATACATGACAATAATGCACATTTTGTTCATATCATGTTTTCAGTCAAAACAAATACTGTATATAACAATAATAATAATGGTATTAACATTATATATATGATATATAATATATATGTATTATAATATATATACAATGCTTACATTGTAGGTATATATATTGTTATACAGCCAAACAAACGTTAATAAATATATAACCTTAATTAAACTGTCTTCATCCTGGGAAAAAATCCAGTGTTCCGTCGTCTGACCAGAAGATACTAGAATTACACACACTTGGAGCCATCCTATTATAAAAATAATCAATTTTCTTTGATGAATTAAGCTGTTATAGCGTAAGCTGTCTGTAGATAGTTAGATGAGTGTTTTATATGTAATGTAGGGCTTCGGCTATATGTTGCTTAACGTTGTAAGAAAGTGCGAGAAAGGATTGCAGGTGGAGGGTTGAGGTGTTGTCAGCGGTGTTGCTCGACTTGTTGAAACTACCCAGTTGCTTTGGTTCCGTGTTGGGCTTATCAACTCATGTTGATAAGCCCAACTGTGGTCGATCTCGAGCTCAATGGGATCGAGATCGACCACAAGTCGCAGTTTCTAATTAAGCAACTGACATACGTGGAGAGCTAGTTTCACAATTTATTTGTTTGTCCTGAAACTGGGGATATTTGGCTAAGATTTCTGGTAGAAGATAATTTTGAATGAAATATTTAGACATTTCTGGAACATTTGTTATAGACTTGTCTCTGAATTCACGCATCTTTCCGCACTCCATCACTTAGTGACAGAGGGAGTGCGAATAATTTTGTTGACACAGTTTACATTTGGTCAGGTCTATATCAACAAATAATCAGAATTCCCAAAGATACTTGTAACCGAGTCTAAGCTGAGCAGTAGTAACATCTAGAAGTCGGATGATTTTGTTAGAAGATCCATAGATGTGTGGGGCTCCTCTTGCATAATAGTATGATGATAGATGGAATTACTGGTGTCGATTTCACTTTGCCTCAGTACGAGCTTTATTATAATTAAATTTAAGGTGTATAGATAAATTGTAAAAATAACAATGTCAAACAACATCCACTGACGTCTAGTTCAATCCGACATAATCGACAGATACAACGGCAATGGGAGATTATACAACCCGTTCTCGCACTTTCTTACACCTGCACTGTGTAGCCTTACCTTATGGATCGGCTTGTCAAGACGCTGTCATACCAAACAACAACCATAGCTGTGACCATTTACGTCAAATATATATCTAATTACCATATTTGTTGTGCTTTATTGGAAATTTAAAGGGTACACGATTTACATTAGTTATTACAACTGGTTTAGAGGTTATGGATCTCTTGGAGCTCCTCCGCTTCCGGACAGGAACCGAGGACGCAGCAGGCGTTTCCCCTCTGGATCGCCACACTGAGGTGCTGAAACAGGAAACTGGCTGCCTTTGGGTCTCTGGTGATGTCAATGAGCCTGGAACCCAATTTTTGAGGAATCCCAAGACATTCCTATCTCAGGGGCTATGTGTCTCAGACGCTATGGTAACAAAGGTTTATTGACCTTCCAGCGCCTGTACTTGGCTGATTTTGCTGTTTCCCGGTGGTTGGCCGCCCCACCTGCTTAATCAGCACCAAAGCGTATGTAGGTGTCAGCCAAGGTGGATACACACGTGTAGTCCCACACCAACTGTCTGCCCCTCTTCCAGGGGTATATTGTTTATTCCAGGGGTTTATTGTGATGCCATCTGGACGAAGTTCGGGGTCATCCGGGTTTTGGTCCCCTAGGATGCGAGGTTCTCTATCCGCTGGGCACTGAGCCGAGACAAGGCTCCTCTTGATGATGTCATAGACCTCATTGTGTCTTGCATTCCAGCCCTTGGATTTTCTGCGGTGCAACCCATGCAGTCCATATTGGTCTGATTACACCCTGTCGCAAATACACTTGTATTCAGTGTGAATTGGGGCGCCAAGGCGGAGGGCCGCTGCTACACGAAGGTATTCTGGATCTAGACGTGTGCCCATTAGTAGTAGTAGTGAATGAGAAGGGGGGGGGAGAGTAAGGTTGAGGTGATGAGGGGAGGGTATTGCGGGAGGAGGAGGGGACGGTAATGATGAAGAGGGGAGGGTAATGATAAAGGTGAGAGAATAGCGGTAAAGTGAGGATATGAGGGTAGAGATAAGGTGAGGAGGGTAAGGAGAGCAGTGTGAGGCTACAAGGTGGCAAGGGAAATGTATCCTGTTGCATATCCTGTTTATTTCCTGTAATTTTGACTTTGTGCCCATACTAAGAAACAGCTAACTTTTAGTTATCTTATAGCCGTGCCTGTAGATAGTCGTGTCAGCAGGTAATCCTGCCAGCAAGTAGCCATGTCTTAACGGTTACCAGCAGGTAGCCGTGTACTGCATGGTCGTGCCAGCAGGTAGCCGTGTACTGCATGGTCGTGCCAGCAGGTAGCCGTGTACTGCATGGTCGTGCCAGCAGATAGCCGTGTACGTGTCGTTCCAGCAGGCAACCGTGTCCTGTCCGTGCCTGCTGTTCACCTAGCAACCAGTACCCCGTAAGCCGCATAAGTACAGCAGCAACCATATAAAGACTGCAATAATTTACTGTATGCAAACAGTGATTAAAATGATAAAGTAGCACAGTGGTCTACGTTGTCGACTCACAACTAAAGGTCAGTTTCCTGGAAGGACAGAGACAGTCGGACACGTTACCTTTTGTCTGATGCCTCAGTTAGGCAATTCTTGCAGGTTGCATCCTGAGAAAGGTCAGTAGGTGGCCAGGGGATACCTCGGGAAGCCGAAGTACAGGGGTCCTGTCCCCTACAGGAAGCCAGCTGCATCAGCTGTATAAGCTTAGTGTGAAGTGTGGTGAACAAGAGAATTCGTTCTTTCAGTCGACGGGATGAGGCTTCCGCGGCAGTTGACTGTGGTAGTGGTCGGGCTGATCTTCCAAACTCAATTTTTCCATCTTAATCAAGCCAACTTTCTTCATGCAGGTCAGCCATCTTTAGTTCTAAGAGATTATCTAACATGTTTTATTCTTTAGCACAACCAAAGAATAAATTATATTTAATCGAACACTTGATTTTTGTATTTCCAAACGAAAACAGATATCAATACAAATGGGCAATATCAATTAGATTTATTTATTTATATGCAAGAAAGTACAATGGGTTGTGAAAGTACGTACGTTGGTGATTAAATGGTACATTCATGAAGAGCCACTAACAATCATAGCGTTTCGGGCAGATCCTAATACTAAACAGAAATTTTGCACTAACATTTGCCATAGTCCTTAAGTGATCCCGCAGTTATATGACATGTGTCCATAAGCAAATAAACTCGCTTCTCTAATAATAAATCTTGCAGGTTGGCGTTCTGTACCCGACCGTCCAAGTGATTGGGCACGATTCCTATCCTCCACCCAGTCCTATATCCTTATCCTCATATCCCTTCCTAGTGATGTATGATCGTAATGACTTAGTGCTTTTTAATGATAATTACCTTAATTTACCTCGCCAACGAATATTTAACTTCTACGGTTACTATTTCAGGTTGTTCAATTCAAAACAACTACAAAAGTACCACTTTTGAAGATTCCGTATTCTTTTATATGCTGTTTCCACCTCGGGCATCTACGTTCAGCATTGAAGTTGATCAGAGGGGAATCAAGAGACGCATCCAAACAAATGAGTCCACTGAACACCAGCAGAAGTGGCTGGCGTTGGAGTTAGTGCTGAAGGAGAGGCTGGAGGTGCGCTTCAGGAACGGCAGTGTATGGTTAACTGAGGATGATAAGGTGACGGAGCGAGAGCCTGAGAAGGTGGTTAAGATACGTGGCAGTCGCTTCATGACGGATTGTCCCCAAGGTGAGTCTGCTTCATCATTTGTTATGCAAATGTATTGGCAAAATACGTTTGCTGTGAGAAAACCTTTCGAGCAGGACAAGAGGATCGAACCAGCGTACTCCTGGGTAAACCCAGACGCATGCTTTACCCATGGACCGCGATATGCAGGTTACGTGTAAAACTTGGATTGACCACCAGCTCGGTGCCTCCAGAGTCCTGGTGAGTCTGGGGGGACTCCAGGCTATGTAAATTATAGCATATCATGGTCCAATGGTTAAGGTGAGCGTCTGGGGCTACCCAGAAAGCTGGTTCGATTCTGCCGTCATATCATATTTATTCCATTGTTTACTTTTAAAATTTTTGGGGTAAATCAACATATAAATTTACAATGAACAAACCACGAAACAATATAAAAGCAAAACTTTACTTGACCACATTTAGGACCACGTCTGCAATACTAACAGCCATTTTATTATTAAGGACATAGAGCTTGATAGTTGAGATACAATCCTAATTACTGGTGGTCGATTAAATATAAATGACAAAGAATGCTAACTATTTTAAGTTTCCATGTTATTTTGATTCTTATTATGTACAGTCATAAACTCAGTGCTCAATGCAGTGAGACAAAAAGAGACCAAAAGCTAAGAAGTCGCGTTAGTGGACCCCATACCGTTCCTCTGGGCGGCAGTGGGCCCCATACCCATCCTGTTCACTTTACTGAACATTTATTGTCATCTAAGATAACAGATGCCAGATATTTTACAGATGATAAATGCTATGTATATTCACTTCTTAAGAGTGTGGCACAGTAAACTAAGACGACCAAAGTCTGGGTGTGGTACACAATGCGTGGTACACAATGCGCCCGAACCCAGCTATATACTTTCCCCCCTGGTAACAGAGACGCCGAACTGGAGGTTAGAGGACGGATACGAGGACATGACGCTGATGGTGGGGGCAGAGAAGGTGGTGTTGAGCGCCATGCCCACCTCCCCGACGAGGATGTTCCTGACAGTGGCCAGGGAGGAGATGGTGATCTGCTGGACACACGCTACAAACACGACGTTCTTGTCGTTGGTCACAGCCATGCCCGCTACCTGCGACCCTCTGCCTGCCTACGCTACCTTCTGGCTGGCCTTAGATTATGATGCTTACGTCTTCAAGGTAATTTTATTATTAATAAAATTTATTTACCATTTTGTTAATCTGTGGACTTTGTGTTGTTTATGCTTTACAAGTTTGGAATTATATATCCTTGTTCCGTGAGCCTAATGGGACCTTGGGCCAGATTAACGAAGCAGTTACGCAAGTACTTACGAACGTGTACATCTTTCCTCAATCTTTGACGGCTTTGGTTACATTAATTAATCAGTTTACAAGCATGAAAACTTCCCAATAAACTGTTGTTATTGTTATAAACAGGCTCCTAGTGCTTCGGAGCTCATTAACTGTTTAATAATGTTAAACAAAGCCGCCAAAGATTGAGAAAAGATGTACAGGTTCGTAAGTGCTTGCGTAACTGCTTCGTGAATCTGGCACGGGTGTTATGTGAGGCAGGTGAGGTGAAGGGAGGGATCACGTATTATTATTTCTATTTATGAAGCATTTAACAAGCAGAGTACCTACGGGGTCACCATAGCCCGTGCTACTTGGAACTTTTTGTTCAGAGTAGCTGAATCTAAAACAACAACAAGAAGAAGCAGAGTACTAGCGTTATTAAGCTAGTACTCACTCTGTTCTAGTACTTTCTTTCACTGTTCGATGGTGTTTGATGACTGTAACACATTGTCTCCAAATATGTTGCTTTAATTGCTGTTTTGAGTTTTGTATTATTTTTGGAAGTTGTAGTGTAGCTAACTGAGCATGGTTTATCAAAGTTGTAATATAATGCTAATGGTGAGTGTACATATATTGTTTGTTTTGTAAACTCAAGAGGAAGGGGAGATGATGCAGTAACTATTATTAATTAGGGCCTCGTACTCCACAGGTCACACGACTGGGTAACAACGAGGACATCTTGTGGGTCACCCACTTGGACGACATGACGGCCAGAGTGACCTTCAAGGGCAGCGGCTTGAGCAGCGCCGTGTACATGGTCCACCACCTCCGGGGCTTCCCTCCTCCACTACCCCCTGGGGGCGCGTCTACGGTCACCCAGCCCCGTGTCACCCAGAGATCACCTGAAGGAAGTAAGGATGGATAGATGGGATGGAGGAAATGAAGGGGGGAACTTAACAAAAATAGTTGTGTCAAAGTCCACGGTTTAGTAAGCTGGGCTGGTTGTCACCTTGTCTCATAGTTAGTTTAGTTCATTTATTATGCGCCCCATACCCATCTTGTGGGCGTCAGTGGAAAGGGTTACAGAGGCACATAATGGGCTCAGGGACTGACCACCACAATTCATTTAGCTAAGCAAGTTACAATCTTGATGAGCTAGTTACAAAATTCAGTATAAGTCGTCACATCAACATCTCATATATTTACATTTTGTCTCATATATTGCATTTCTTTAAAGCCAAATGAAGAGTTCGACTTAATACTAATTTTGATAATTTTATTAGCAGCAAATGTCTTGGTAACGATGATTTCCGTAAGGATATTACAGAGATTAGGGCTCAGGACCTCCTTGTGGAGTCCCTTTCTGATGCAATTGACAGTCCGACACTTGACCTTGCAGTTTTACTCTGATATACCTGTGACATTGGCGATGAAGATGACAACTTGACTAGTTTGGTGGCTACCAAAAAGTTATTCGATTAATAGAAAAATTCAAACCAAACTAGTCCCCTAGGGCCACATGAAGTGTTTCCTAGGGTGCTAAAAATGTAAAGAAAAGCTTAGTGAGTTCTTATTTTGCACATTTAAACAACAACGAATAGAGTCGAGTATACTCTATACTATACTCGACTCATTAGAGTCGAGAAGAGTACCAGGGTCGTGGAGGGTTGCTAATGTGGTGTCGATTTTTAAGAAGAGAGATTGATTACTTGGGTCGAATTATCGGTCATTTATCTTAATATCTATTGTGATACAATTGCTTGAATCGATAATCAGAAAAGCCATTCGTCTACATCTTGAAACCCGCAAATTAATAAATTATTCACACCATGGTTTTACTAAGGGCCGCTCATGTTTGACAAATTTCCTTTAATTCTATTCCAGCATATATGAGACAGATGGTTTGAGAGCAGCAAGTCTGCTACATAATCACAAACACCAAAATAATTTAGGTAAAAGTACATACATACAAAATGCGAGAAGTGTTGATCAAGAGCAGAATTTAGATCTTCAACTCAGCATATGTATATACAGTGAGAAGTTGGCGACTTGTTGTTGTTTCAGATTTAGCTACTCAGGACGAAGTGTCCAAGTAGCACGGGCTATGGTGAGCCCGTCAGTTGGCGACACCTGTGGGTGTATATATCCATTGTGTTCATCTCTCTTTACAGTGTGTGTGAAGGTGTCGCTTCCCCTGGTGGCGGTGTTGGGGCTCCTCCTCATCGCGTTCAGCGCCCTCGCTATGGTCTTCTACCACCGCTGGACCAAGGTCACATATTTTATAAACCCTATCTCTACATAATCTGAATGTCTTCAATATTAAATTCCATAATCACATTTGCAATTTTATCTTACATTCTTATCTTGGCGAACAGTATCTTAAAATGTTTATTTAGTTAGTGATGAATATATAAATGTAAGATTCACAGGAAAGTAAGTTTTTGTTTCATAGCTTGTGAAATTTATCCTCGGTATGTTACGTGTACTGACTACAATGTATGGGGCATGAATTCTTAGGTATTGGTGCTCTTACGAGGCTCGACTAGCGGGGAGGGACAATGTACCAACTTCAAGACACTGCAGAATCACCATGGGCCCACAGGGACGCCACCTACCCTGCCCTCCAGCTCACCGCCCTCTCTGCACGCCCACTACGTCAACCAGCCAGGGAATGTCTCCAGGAGTGAGCACGTCTACGAGGAAGTGGACATGATCTTCGGGCACTCGCAGAATAACCCGAGAACCTCTCATGAAAACCCGATTTTTGATCACATTCACAGTGAGGACAAGAAAGTTCAATGGCAATCAAAACTTAACAGAAAATGAGAAATTGTTCAAAGGAATAGACAAACAGATAATATAATTATTTCTATTAAGGATATATTGCCATGAAGCAGAATCGAGTGACTAGCCAACATACATCATGGCCCTATCTATCTATATATATATCTATCTATCTATATATATATATATATATATATATATATATATATATATATATATATATATATATATATATATATATATATATATATATAGATATATAGATAGTTGTTAAATATGACCGAAAAAGTGAGATTAATAATTCTAACACGAATTTTCTCAATATTTCTTGTTTCTTTTTACTGACGATGGTAAATGAAAAATCAATTCTCCAAAATTCATTTCTAGTATGACGCAACGCTTGAACGCGTTTCGTAATAACTTATTACATTTTCAAAGACTTTAGTTTACACACACAACTGTAATCTGAAAACACTAAACAGAGTCTTATTTATACTAACACTAAACAGCTTATCCGTCTTACTTATACTCGCATTTGGGTGAGGTGATATGGTGCAACAGTTTTGGATGAGGTGAACAAACTTGTGACAAATGCAAGACAAAACACGAAACAATGGGTATTAGTTGGATATGAGAGCATAAGAATGGAAGTAACTGTAGAGGGCCTATTGGCCCATACTTCCTCTTGATGCTTCTATATTGGTTCTGAGTCTTGAAGTGGGTAGAATATAGTTAATGCAACAACAACACCTCTCAAAACGTCTAGACAGTGCCACCAGTCTACCTCCCCTACGACCTGTCACCCTCCTCGCACCTGGTGACGCCTCAGGATCACGCCATCGGCCGAAACAAGCAGTTAACGAGCCGGCGCATAGTTATAAATGACTCCAGCGCTACCTGGACGGCCATCGTTCCCTATATATAGAGGTTTGACGTTCGAGCTAGTTAGAGGTCACGACCTCTCCGTAGGGTGCAGTCGCACCTCCACAGATTTCCAGTATCAGCTATTGATACTGGTAATGGCTCCAAAGGGCCACCACTTAAGGGCTATTCATGCCCGTGTCACCTTTTGGGTGGCTTAATCTTCATCAATAAATCAATCCAGCTAGTCAGATTACTCCTGACTGCTCTACAGAGTAGACCTGTTGACATATCTCGGTGTGGTAACAGGTTTATGCAGTCAAGCTCATAGTATTCTAGCACCATATCTTATTTGCATATTATCGTAATGTAAATTTGATTGTTCATCTCGTTTGTTTTGCTCACGTTGTATTAGTCAAGCCTGGATATAATTTTTTTGTTTTGTAACTTGTTTAACGTCATTTTTATTAAGTAAAGTATTTATAAATGTTTTTTTTTTCTTATCCTACAGTTACCTCAGTGAAGACAAATAGCAATCTTAACTTTTTCTTAAGCTTTTTTTTTATTTGTTTTATGCGACTGGCATTCCATCTGCCCTAGAGACTGCACTAACGTCATTTTTTTCTCGTCATATATGTATATGTATATATATTATGTAATATGTGTCTTGAAAGACGAACGCATAAGCGAACACCCCTTTAGAAACTTGTGTAAGGAATCTTTCAGAACCCTGTATACCACTTATGTAAGACCAATCATGGAGTATGCAGCTCCAGCCTGGAGTCCATACCTAGTTAAACACAAGACAAAGCTAGAGAAGATTCAGCGGTATGCCACCAGGCTCGTCCCGGAACTGAGAGGAATGAGCTACGAGGAAAGGCTAAAGGAGCTGAACCTCACATCCCTGGAAAACAGAAGAGTAAGGGGAGACATGATAACCACCTACAAAATTCTCACGGGGAATTGACAGGGTGGACAAAGACAAACTCTTCAGCACGGGTGGGACAGGAACACAGGTGAAAACTTAGTACCCAGATGAGCCACAGAGACGTTAGAAAGAATTTTTTCAGTGTCAGAGTAGTTAATAAATGGAATGCACTAGGAAGTGATGTAGTGGAGGCAGACTCCATACACAGTTTCAAATGTAGATATGATAGAGCCCAGTAGGCTCAGGATCCTGTACACTAGTTGATTGACAGTTGAGAGGCGGGACCAAAGAGCCAAAGCTCAACCCCCGCAATCACAATTAGGCGAGTACCCACCAGCGCATGTGAATATACGAACGAGTTCTGCATACAGAAATTGTCTATGAATTTGTGTACCGAACGGATGGTATCCGATACATTGTGTACGATGCGACCAGACCCCGGCAGGTGTAGGTCCCAGTAGTTGGCGTCCCACCTACACTGACACTGTGAATGACTACTCTACTAAATTATGACGGTTTGTGAATTTATCTAGAAGACAAAACACCCGTAGCTCCAAATCTAAGGCATTTTAGTTCATTTCAGTTTGTTACAAACGCTTATAATGATATTGGGAACTGAACCTCAATATTTGTTTTCTCTAAGGTAATAAAAGTATTGAATTAGAGTTTGACAGGATATGATCACATCTTACTCAAGATGTGTCGATAAAGCTCGTTTTCTGATTGCTAGAACCATATATATCGTTAGGATATCCATACAGTATTAGCATAGTTTAGACTGTAAGGCTTGGTTAGGGGGTCCGTCTAATTACCACAAGCTACCACAAACTTCAGAAAGCTTCCTGGCAATACGTTAGTAATGAATAAATGTGATATATTAAGTTAGGCTGACCTAACCTAACCTAAAACCTAACCTTACCTTACCTTACCTTACCTTACCTTACCTTACCTTACCTTACCTTGGATCGTCGACTTGATTTGGTGTCACCAGCTTTTTATTTTCGTCTAATTTCTTTATAAAAAGATACTTTTTCAGATTAAAATTGTTTTTTCGTGTTGTACATTCAGCACCAACATTATAATGAGTAAATATATATTTATTCATTACTAACGTATTGCCAGGAAGCTTTCTGAAGTTTGTGTAGTTTGTGGTAGCTTGTGGTAATTAGACGGACCGTTGGTTAGGTTAGGTTGGGTAAGATTTGATTGGTTTAAATTTTAACCCATTGGTGAACTGTTTGGTGTACGATGTAATCTATCCGGTTTGACATGTCGGTAAACTATTTAGTCTTCATTGTCTGGAGTAGGCCTAGGGGGAAGAAAGGAAATGAAATATATGACAGCAGAGGCCAGTTTACCAACTAAATGTGTATTGTGAGTCGACCCATTCATGGCCTTGGCTGTGCAGTGAAGGGCGAGTTTATTCCACAGCATACGTGTGTGTCTCGATCATTTGATTGGATATATGTGAACCATTTTTTTTTTTTTTTTACAAGCTGATGGTGACATTGTTAATTGCAAAATTAACTGGAATTAAATGTGGGACCCCTTGCATTACTAAGACAGAATGTTCTCACTACATGTCTTATAGCTCCAGGCTCCGTTTCAACATCTATGACATTGCCAACAACAGACTGCTGTAACCACGACTACTAAATAAATATCAAAACCATTAAACTCTGTGTAACTAATCAACCAAACAACGTAACATAATCGTACATTACATTAGTACGATTACCAATGTAATACCAAAGCTGTCAGGAGGGCCTGATAGCTGAGTGGACAGCACTCGGGGTTCGTAGTCCTAAGGGTCCTGGTTTGATCCCCGGCAGAGATGGAAACAATTGGGCAGAATTTTTTACCCTGATGCACCTACAGTATTCACCAAGCAGTAAATAGGTATTTGGGAGCTGGACAGCTGCTATGGGCTGCTTCCTAGGGATGTGTGTGTGTGTGAAAATTAGGATTAAGGACTTGCCAAAATGATGTGCATGCTGTACAAGAATGTAAGATCACTTGAATGTTTATATAAATAAAAAAAAAATAGTTGTGTAGGATCTTTAGATGTCAGTGCTAGGGCACACGTCAAAGTGAGAAACTAGGCTAACTAGGACACTATTGGAAACTTTTTGCAAGGTCAAGTCATTATCAGGAGAAAGCACTAAGCCATTATGATGAGAGCACTTAATAAGGATTTAAAATAGGACAAAGGAATAGTGTACAACCACTGGGACTATTTGGTCAATAATTGGATGGTTGACCATGTACATAGCCAGATTCTACCTTGGCCAGTGGAACCTTTATAAGCCTAATATTGATACAGCACAGGAGTCGGTACAGTCAGCTCACTACCAAGTGATCTCTGGTTCATTTCCTGTACAGAACAAGATGGTGGGCATGACGTTTCCCAACACTTAATGCCTCTGTTACCCTAACATTAGATAGGTACCTGGGAGTTAGGCAGCTGTTGTGGATTGGCCTATAGACACAACGATAAGCCTAATAGGCATCCTGTTCCCAACAATGTGGAACCATAAGCTCAAGGATGCATATTCTAAATTTAGCCTTCAGAAATTTATTAGTGGTACCATTTATTAACATCTTTATTGATAAAATATATAATTTTGCCTAATTGGAGTAGTTTAATTTAGTCTTATTACTGTGAGAATTTAAACTGATTTTTATTATGAGGAGTACTTTAGGGTCAGAAAGGCACCATCTTCATATATCTGGAATTTTGCCCATTTGTTGGTTTTGACTTAACACAAAAATTCTTTAGTGCATTTTTGTGAAATTGATGCTAGAATTAACCTACTATAGTACAGTACTGTACTGTACATTGTATTGTGATCCAAAGCAAAGTGACTATTGACTAAACTCTAAAGTATTAGGCCTAATATTTATGAATAGAATAGATGTTTCTGGTTGATAAAAAGAAAATTTTAGTCTCATTTAATGAGGCACCATGAGTGATGTGCATTTAAATGCATCCTTTGGGCTATTTCCAAGTCATTGTACTATAAACAATGATGGAAATGGGTTTGGGAACTAGGTATAAGTTCAGGATTTATGCTTACTGATCACAACATAGTCCATCCAAAATTATCACAAATAAACTTGTTTATTTGGTAGAAACTCTACAAAGGATACCCAAGGTCCTCATTTATATAAATAAAAAAAAATAAAAAATTGAGAAGTATATATAGCCCACATATCCCTCTTCCTAATTTCCATCACTGACTATAGGAATAATGATCTCAAAACATGAAGTGCATGTCTTCATATATGCCTAATGCCAAGAACAAATATTGCAACTTTTAATGTGTAACTGTGAACTTCATATGTTGTATATAATTCATTGAGTTCATTCTCTTTACAGATACTGTACCTGTAACTACTACCAATCTATCAGCAGTTTGTCCTGAAGCATAAAGACTGTAATAGCAGAAAGATACCAGCACTACAGAATTCCAACAATTTATGGTCATAAAATAAAAGGAAAGACGAGTACAGTGCAGGTGCTCATAACTTGAAGGGAAGAAGAGGAAATTACATAAAAATGATCCGTATCACTCCAATCTCAAGGCGTATCAATGGTAAGTTGTTGATAATTTCTGAATGTATTGCTTAGTTCATCAATCCTTAGTTCGGGTATTTTTGTGGATTTCAGTTAGGGGGACATTATATTCTCAAACCTTCTACATTAAGTGAGTTTAATAGGACTCTGAGTTCTTATGAATTTACTTTTATTGGTCATCCTAGGCTGAATAGACCTTGCAGGTATGTCTGAGATCTCTGTGACACCAGTGCCTGAATGTTATCCTGCCTGACTGCACAAATCTGGTCCAATTAGACAGTGGCTAGTTACAAAACATAACATAATGAAGAAAACTGCAGAGGATGCATTGGCTCATACGAGGCAGCTCCTCTTTATGTGTTATGCCCAAATTCTTTCATATAATGTCTAAAGTATTCTTGAAACAATCCATTTATTCCACATCTATTATGTTACCCAGTAATTTATCACATAAATCAACAACCAGGTTTCCAAACCAGTATTTACCCAGAGCTATCCTGAATATAAACTCCAGTTTATTTGCATGGTTTCAAGTTCTGTTGTGTTGATGTATTTAAAACCTTATTTATGTTCCCCTCGTTATATCCTTTCATCCATTTATTTGCTTAAATCATGTTGCCCCATAATTTTTATCTTTCTAGAGAATGTAAGTTAAGTTTTTTAAATATCTATTCATAGGGAAGTTTTTCTAGTTACTTAGGGAGCAGTTAAATTATTTTGCTTACAAAATTGTTTTTCATATTGACTCAACGCTTTAATTTTTTGTAGGTGCATCGGCTCCATTTTACCGTAGAATGACTTCATCTTCTGCATCTAATGACGGTGATGCCAGCAATAGTTCTTCCAGAAAGGCTAAGACGCCTGTTGGTCAGTGTTCTAAATACTGTTTTGTATGCTTTATATTAATTGCCTCAAAGTTCCACATGAAAATGTTGATAGTGCTAAAATAATAATTTGCATTCCTTTTTAACTTTTGTCCATTGTTAATCTCTGAAAACCCAGGAGTAAACTCAATATTCAGAATATATATTATACAAATATGTTATATATATATTTGATTACAACCTAGGAAATTCATACAATAATTTTTTGGCTCAATTTGAATTTGATGTCCAAATGGCTCAATGTTATGTACTTGTTTGTTCAGATTTGGCCCTAAATTGGAATGGAGGATGTGTTCATGGAAAGCTTTATACATAGTGAAGTTAACTTTGTATGGAATAATAAGGTTGCGTTCCAGTGCTGTTCAAAGGTCCTGCCTTTTTCTCATAACCTCATTCTCACCTGTGGGTCCCCCCCTCCCCTACAACCATATTCACACCAGTGGACATCCCTACAAACATATTCTCATCTCGTATTCTAGTATTGTACAGTGTACATTGCACTATATAATATATAAAGGTTTTATAAGTTTTAAGGATACTAAGCATCAGCAAATTTTATTAATTATAACTTTACATGAATGTTAATTTTGTCTGCTTATTTATAGGTAAACTAGATGGCCAAGAGGTAGAAGAGGGTCATCACCCATACCAAGAGAAGGAGCCACTACAACCTTTTCCGGATAATATTAACCCCACTACTGGTGAGGTTGGAGGACCAAGAGGACCAGAACCAACACGATATGGAGACTGGGAGCGCAAAGGCCGTGTATCAGATTTCTGAATATTTTTACAGTGTACAGTGATGCACTGTGGTGAGTGACATTTAATATTTTGGCTGGTAATTTGTTTGGTATGTGATTTCTGTGAGATTTTCGTCTAGCTAAAAAGTTGCTTTCATATCCCTTTTTCTTTACTGAATTACATTTTATAAAAGAAAAACATTCTTATTTTCATAGCTAACATTAAAATTAATTAACAAATTGTAGAATATGAAGAAAACGTTTTTGTATTCATTATTAGGTAAAAATTGTGTAACATAATACCAAGTCAGAAGTAATTACTGTACAGTACATGTAAATGTAATTAGCAATTAAACATACACTACAATAAATTGAGCATTTCAGTTGGAAGCACTGTATAATGCAGTACTAACCTACCTCACTTGGTTACTTCCCAAGACAAGAGCCTTCTAATATCTTGCCAGGATTTAAAATTGTGGATTTTAAATTATTCTACAATACAGTACTATTTACATAAAAATACTCTGTAGAGTACTGAAATATTGTACACATTTAAAATTACATATTGTTAAAACAATAGAAAGGATGTCTAATTAGCAGGTCAATTCAAATAAATTAAAAAAATAGCAAATATTACTGTACTACACATTTTTTCTTAATGTTCCTTTTGGGTTGTATGTCCCTTGATAAAATCCTCGATGAATCCGATTCATTTGACACAACTAGTCCTATGTCTTTCTGATCTTGCATTGGCATCCTAAATGATATCTAGGAACTTGATTATTCTGGAACACCAACAGTGCTGTATCATTTTCTGGGTTTATCACTTTATTTTGATAATTACTTCTCCTATGGTGGATCTCTGAGTGAGGGATCCTCCTCTTTTAGCTTGGTAGTTTGCTTTACATACCTCTTTGACTGGGAACAGTCTTCTTTCTTATTTAGGGGTAGCTTGGAAGTGACCACTTTCATTATGCATTCTTCTTAATGCAAACTCCAGTCTTTGACAGGTATTGGCATATTGGTTCTAGGCTCTCTAGTCAGGTACATTATTGAACATGAGTCACCTGAGTCCAGCTCTGGCTGGATGAATTGAAACTAGTCACCATTCATGCCTAGTACAGTTTCTTCACAAAAGAAAGTGTTTCTGATCTGGAGGACCGGTGTGTTTTCATGACAGGTGTTTATGGATCGGTGCCTGTTAATGAAATCCCATAGTGGGTTTTAATTCCTTATGTATTGAGCATGGGTGATAGTATTGCATGATTGGAGAGTACGAGTTGTGAGGAGAGAGTTTGAGGTATGGGGGGAGAAGGTCTGAATTATGAGGGGAGAGCCTGAGGTGCTGGGGAAGGGTTTAATACATGAGGAAATGTGTAGGTAGGTGAGTGGTGAAGATTTGAGGGGAGTGTCTGAAGTGTGAGGGAGCAGCTTGAGACATGTGGGGAGGGTTTGAAGAGTGTGGCTGATAGTTCTGACCTGTGAGGCTTCTGTATGGGGTAAGGATGGAGGGTTTCAGGTGTGAGGGGACAGTGTGAGGTATGAAGGGGAGACTGACAAGCGAGAGGGTTTTTTGTGTCAAATGCTCTGTTCACATGTAACAAATATAGGTACAGTATTGTGATTTTGTGTGTTTAAAACCATTCAGAACATCATCTCCAAATTTAATTACTGCAGTTTGTGTTCCTCCTTTTTCAAGAGCTATGTTAGTGACAGTAATCTGAGTCTCTTTAGATAATCAATGACCCAGTTGTTGGCAATTTTCTTTCTAGTCTACTACTCTTTCTAGTCTTCATTAGTCTACTAACTGCTGGGCTGATATACTGATCAATCATTATTATTGACTGGATTTTTCTTTTTATATATAGACAGGCAATCCTGCAGGCATTCTGTCAAGAAGTGGCAGCGCACACACTTCTGCCACAGCAGCCAATTTGGCATGAGATTCCCTACCAAGTGTCGTATGGCACTAACCTATGTGTGTGTGTGCTATGGTAATGCTCAAGTCTCTGGGAGGCATTGCAATTCCAATGTAACTGAGTCAACTTTTCATCAACTGTTAAAATATCTTAAAATCATTTTAGGATGCCCTATGTTCAGCTTGTAGTTTTACTTTGTAATCTAACCATCATATTGGTTATGAGTTTTGACTTTTCATTGTATTCTTGACAGTAGTGAATCAGACCTTTGCCTTGTTTATTGTACATCATAACACTCAACATGCTTGGATCAAAAGATGCCTGTTGATATTGCATAGTAAAACATGGAGCATAATTTTTATTTTATATATATGTACAGAAATTTAAAATATTAAAGTCTCTTAATATTTACAGATTGGCAGTGAATGAATCCAAAGGACATGATGTATAGGGTGAGTTAATGCTTACAGAGTAGAGTGATGTTTGGATTCCTATTTTGTAATGGGATTGTGATATGGAAGGTAGAGGAAAGTGTTTGAATGTCATTTAGGCAAGTGTGCAGTAAAGTTTAATGGGAACTTTGTCAAAAAGATAATTGGATTAAATAAATACAAAGGGCATTTGGTAGGTTTCAGGTGTATACCTTTGAAAGAGGTAAGGAGTTGGTTATATTGCAGATCGTAAGTTAAAAATTTGAAAAAGGTTAAGTTGCAAAGAAAGGGTTTATTAAGAGATAAAATATGTTTTGTATGGTAGAGTATCTTTTTAAGGAAAATAATTTAGCAATAAAAGATGCTTATGATAATTTACCCACTCAGTGAGGAAACACAAGTCTGAAGATTTTAGGATAGCTTCATTGGAGATTGAAGTTAGATTGTCACAAGAACATCTGTCCAATTACCTTCTTGCACTATTCAACATCAGAGCTGTAGGCATGAGGAAATCATGCATAGTAATGCCTAATAACTTGTGCAAGGCATCCCCTCGTGTTGTTTTCATGAGGTGATGGGGCTCGTTTGGCATTTTCAGGCATTTGAGGGTGGCTTCTATTCTAATCTCATGCCTGCTATGCCTGAGTTCAACAAAATAGATATGCTGATTATAGGAATCCCATCTGGGTCTTGGGACCACTTGCTGGAGGGGTCACCTGTGAGGAATGGATATGGATGTTTACGCTGGGATACGAGACGAAAGTGTGTGTACACCAGTGTGAGCGAGCGTATGTTTCTTTCGTGTTGTTGTATGTTGGTGTACATCCCTGCTGAAAATAGGGAGTACCACTAGGAACGAGATATTGTAAGCTGGCACATGCTCGGTCCTCCGCCTTGCCTTCTGACCATTCTGCATGATTGGTCCCTTCCTCTGCCTCCGTCTTTCAACACTACTATTGCTAGTGTGAGCCCCTCCAGGCTCCATCCTCATTCTAGTCCCTCCCTCTTTCTTTTGGCCCTCCTGACCACTTTGTAACAGCTTATGTTTACCTCTATCCCTACCAACACCGACATTTGTCTCAAGCTGAGACTCGCTTAAAATCTCGAAAAATTATTCTTTTGACCACATGCATAAGGGATACCTAGTAATTTACACTTTGAAAATATTGGAGAGGCTGCACAGGGAAAATAGTGTCTTGTGAAACTGGGAGGCATGTCAGAAGGTGCAATTGAGAATAGAGGTACATTGAATATGCTAGGATGTGGTTCTATCAACATTGGGAGCCAAGACTAACTTCCTCTCTTTATACATAAGGGGCATGGCTAACCTACCTTCCTTTGTTCAAAAGGAAGCTTGATAAGCACTTCAAGGGAAATTTGATTAATTTGACTGATTCATGCATTAGACTGTGAGCAACCACATCTGGCAACCTCCTTGACCAGACCACCAAACAGGAAACTTGGTTGGAGGTTGGGCCTCCAGGACGTTGATTCATGGAGCCACCTTGGAACCACCTCTTACAGCCAAAAGAGTAAGTTGGATCCCTCTTGTTCCTGCTCAAAGAAAAAATGTCTTCTGTCCCTGATCCATCCATCGTGCCTACCCTCATTTCGAAGTCTGAAGTAGGGTTGTCCCTAGTCTGGAGCAGTCCTACTTTACTGATTCCTCTCTACCTCTGATTTTTACTGCTATTCAAAGCACAATATGCAGTCATTGGAGGGATAGATGGCTAACTATTGTGAATAGCAAATTGTATGCTATTAAATGTGAGCAATAGCTTCCTCCTAACATTGTAACAGGTGAGAAACTTCTCTGGCTAAGTTATGTATTGGCTACACATAATCAAATAAAAGCAGGTATGGAACAAAAACCTGTGCCTTATTATCAGAACTGCATTGTCTCCTTAGTGTATCTCCTATTAAAATGTCCCAATTTTCAGATTGATTAGAAATCTTGGCTTCTTAATGTTCATTAGCATGTATACCTCCATGAAATCTTTGGTGAATCTAATAATTTTGAAAAAGCTCGTCTTTGGTATTTTTGCTCTTGTTCAGATTTCTTGAATGATACTGTATCTAGGAATTTAATAATACAGTGGCGCCTTGATTAACGAGTTTAATCTGTTCTGGCACCAAGCTCGTCATGTGGAAAACTCTTGTGAAACAACAACAAAACTGTTGTCGGAGGTGTCCGAGAACCAGCGGGAACGCTCGTTAATCGAGGGAAAGCTCGTCAGTCGAGACATTTTTTGCGAGTGGCCTGCTTGTTACTTGAAATGCTCGTAACTGGAGCCACTCGTCACTCGAGGTTCCACTGTATGTGAAACAGACCGCTAAGTAGTCTTCCAGGCTGGACACCTCTTTTTGATAACTACTGACTTGCCACACACCAGGGTTACAATTTTGTACATTGCCCCAATACGTATATACCCATGGCAACTCATCCATGGTGGAGGAGTTTCATTATTCATTACTGAAATACTGTGTAAAAAAATATATGAACACCAGTTTCTGATAAGCATACAATGCAGAAAGAAATTACATTACTGTGATGTATCAATGAGAAAATCAATATTGCATTTGCTTGGGAGTACCCAGAGCCATGAAGAGGGTCAAATCCTTCTCACTGCTAATTCTGATTTTCTCAAGCATGCAATACAAATTTATTCTATAAAAACTAACTTAATTGATAACTAATTTGCTCCTTGATCATCAATTCAGTGATTCAATGACCATTCCACTTCTGCCCTCCCCTTTTTTCCAGTGAAGTCTGTCAGTCTCCACCTCTATCATTAAATGATTTCAGTTTCTGTGATGGTATTAATGTGATGGCCAGAGTATAATACAGGTAATTGTAAATACAAAAAAGAAAATAATAATGTATTTTTTTATGTTCTAAGACAGGCATATGATATTTAGTCCTTCAAATTTTTAAATAAAATTTCAGCATTATTTTAAACTAATAAGTAACAATCTGGGCTCATTCTTGGTAAAGTTAATGTTATTTGAGATATTACCAATTGCATTGATAGTAATTTTAGGCACTTCAGAAATATAGCATCGTGAATACCTGTGTTGTCCACTTTGTATATACACACAGTTCGTAACTTTAATGTTACAGCAAATCTTTGGCAAATACATACTCAAAATTTAAATTAATTTAAAATGCATTAAGTGGCTTTAATAGGATTTACACATTTGGTACAATTGCATCTAATACAAGGACACTGTAATGAAAATTGTTTCGGTGTATGTATTTGCAAGGACACTCTAGTATTGTGCAGCTAGCAGA